ATTTCTACAGAACTTCAGCCGTTCTCACTTCTCAAATGGTTTCCTATTACCAGCCTGTCAAGTTAAACTAAAAATAATTACTTTGTCTGCAATAATAAGGAGAAAATCAAAATTTCACAGCACAATGTGTGCCATGCAGCTTACTAGAAAGCAGCAACTGTGTTTTCAAAGAGCAGCATGAAATGTTTCTTCTGCTTTTTTTTCTGGGGGGGGGGGGGAAAAACAAAAAAACAAAAACAAAAACAAAAAGCAAAAAACAAAAAACAAAGTTTGAGTTGCAAACTTTACAAATTTTGGTAACACTCAAGCTAAAGAGGTCTGCAAATAAATCTCCTCAAGGTCAGTTTGACAATATATGTTCCTTGCTCATCATAGTATCATGAAAGAACAGAGATCAAGAAAAAGGCTGTATTTAGAACTGGACTAGTAACTGGCAAAACAGACAAATGAAATAACTGGAAGTCTTGTGGAGTATCAGAAATTTGCAGTGTTTTGAAGAGCAAAATTACGCTATTTAGAGATAACCATGAGTCAGTCACCACAAAGTAAATGGTATTTAATGGAAAAGACCAACTTCAGTACAAAACACCTCACTGGACCTCTCAAAGTCCAGAAACTGTCACCTACATGCCTAAAGTTAGGTAGATACTGATCTCTATCCTGTGCACATGCCATTCTGAGATCATCCTTAATTTAGCAGCAAAACAGAATGAAGACAAAGACAAAATATATTGTGGGATCTACAGGTAAGAAGCAGTGAAAGACTTTACTAATATTCCTCCTATATGAAAAATTTATTTTGAAACAGGAGATAGAAATGTAATTACAAAAGCAACTAGAGTAGGTGGAGCTGAAATTGTTTGCCTGTATTAAATGCAGGAGAAAACAAATGGACAAAATGTAACACATAGAAAAGAACAGGAGTACCTTCACAGGCACTGAAGAAGACATGATACTGATGACTTCTGAAGTTCAGTCACAGAATAAGCACCTACCAAATTTAAGATACTGGTGTTCCCAGACATTTTAAGTGCATTGTATGCGTATTTGATACAACATTAAATTGTATACTTTAAGAAATAGCCTCATAGGCTATTTCAGAGGGAAAGTAACAGATCATTACTTAAGTTTATTGAGAGTTTTTAATGATATTCAATTATATCTCAGGAAATTAAAAATCTGGATATCCCACATTTGTTGACAAAGACCTACAAACACAACAGGTTGAAAAGGTACTCATAGAATACTTAAAAACTAGTATGTTTTGCAGTCATTAGTGAATCTTAAATCAAATTCACTAAAAATATAAGTTGAGGTTAATGTAAAAGCTGTTGAACCTATGAAAAACAAAGGATTTCACTATATCTAACAGCTAAATTCCTTTTGATTTCAGGAATGCAGGATTGTATCAAAAAGCTGAAGGGAAATCACGGTAAGAATTGAATTTAAAAAAAAAGTGAGGCCTGAGAACAAAAGGGGGAAAAAAAGGTTGAAAGTACTATTCTTCTAAATAGAAATGATGTCTTTAATTATCTGAAAAAAAAAAAAAACCCCGAAAAAAAAAAACCCCACTAGAAAACAAGTTAAAGAGAGCAGTAAGAAACTGCAAAATTCATATTTGAGATGCATCACAGCAGCAGCAAAAGATTACTGTATGCAGTTTTTCTTCCTATAATCTCACAGAAAAAAGGTCATTCTACTTTCAAGGCGGCCATGCTTGTTGACAGATATTTCTACACAAAAAAGGGGATTCACACAGAATGCACAACATTCAGTCAGGAATATTTTATACAAAAACTTTTAAAGGACCAAGTATGTAAAGTTTAGTAAAATATCATCCCCTGTGTATAACCTGTGTATTCAATGACATCTTCCTTCTCCTTTGAGTAGATCTAAATAGGTCAGGATTTTCAAGACCTCATAGTTTTTGTTTATGCTTAACATCTTTAACTTCACAAACTCATAGAATTGCAGAAGTTGGAAGGGACCTCAATAAATCTTTGAGCTCCCTCTGAATCCCTCTGAATAAGAAAGTGGGCAGAGGAGGTAGGAAGTCAGTGTGCTGAGGGCAAAGAAAGGTGCGTACAAGCTCTGGAAACAAGGCCATGTCACCTGGGAAGTATACAGGGATGCTGTCCGGACTTGCAAACGTGGGATCAGGAAAGCCAAGGCGCAGGTGGAACTGAACTTGGCGAGGGACGTGAAAAACAACAGGAAGACTTTGTACAGGTACCTTGGCCAGAAGAGACAGGCCAAAGCAAGTGTACCTCCTTCGGTAACTGTAAAAGGAGAACTAGCTTCAACGGACAAAGAGAAGGCTGAGGTACTGAAGGAGTTCTTTGCCTCGGTCTTCACTGCCAGCCAGGATTCCAGTACTTCTCACATCCCTGAGCCCTGCATCCCTAAACCTCTGGGTGGGGACCAGGGTGGTAAATCCCCCCCTGCTGTGAGGACATAGCAGATACGAGACCGCCTCATGGGACTGAATGTGTACAAGTCTATGGGGCCGGATGGCGTGCACCCCAGGGTTCTGAAGGAGCTGGCTGAAGTGGTTACCGAGCCGCTCTCCATCATATTTGAAAAGTCGTGGCTGTCAGGTGAGGTCCCGGATGACTGGAGGAAGGGTCACGTCACTCCCATTTACAAGAAAGGAAGTAAGGAGAACCCCGGGAACTACAGGCCGGCGAGTCTCACCTCTGTGCCTGGGAAGATCATGGAACAGATCATCCTGGATGACATGCTTGATCACATGAGGAAAGGGTGTGTGATCTGTGACAACCAGCATGGCTTCACCAGAGGAAGGTCAGGCTTGACCAATCTGGTGGCCTTCTATGATGAAGCGATGGCATCGGTGGACAAGGGAAAGGTGACTGATGTCATTTCCCTGGACTTGAGCAAGGCCTTTGACATGGTCCCCCACCACATCCTTATCTCCAAATTGGAGGGATGTGGATTCGATGGGTGGACCACTCGATAGATGAGAAACTGGTTGAAAGGCCGCAGACAGAGGGTGGTCATCAATGGCTCCATGTCCAGGTGGAGGCTGGTAACGAGCGGCATCCCCCAGGGGTCTGTCTTGGGACCGGTGCTCTGTAACATCTTTATCAATGACATTGATGACAGAATTGAGTGCGCCCTCAGCAAGTTTGCTGATGACACCAAGCTGAGTGGTGTGGTTGACACAGTAGAAGGAAGGGATGCTATTCAGAGGGACCTTGAGAGGCTAGAAAGGTGGGCCCGGGTGAACCTGATGAGGTTCAACACGGCAAAGTGCAGTTTTGCACATGGGCTGGAGGAATCCCAGGCATCCCTACAGACTGGAAGGAGCGATCCTTGAGAACAGCCCTGTGGAGAAGGACCAGGGGTCTTGATAAACTTAACATGAGCCAGCAGTGTGCCCTTGCAGCTCAGAAGGCAAATGGTATCCTGAGCTCCAACAAAAGAGGGATAGCCAGCAGGGGCAGGGAGGTGATTGTTCCCCTCTACTCTGCTCTTGTGAGGCCCCCATCTGGAATACTGCGTCCAGGTCCGGAGCCCCCAGTACAAGAAAGACAGGGAGCTGTTGGAAGGGGTCCAGAGGAGAGCCACGAAGATGATCAGGGGACTGGAGCACCTCTCCTATGAAGACAGACTGAGGGACTGAGCTTGTTCAGCCTGGAGAAAAGAAGGCTGCGGGGTGACCTCATTGCAGCCTTTCAGTACCTAAAGGAAGCCTACAAACAGGAGAGGTATCAACTCTTTGAAAGGGTTGATAACCGTAGGACAAGGGGAAATGGTTTGAAGTTGAGGGAGGGAAGATTTAGGTTGGATGTCAGGAGGAAATTCTTTACAGAGAGAGTGGTGAGGTGCTGGAACAGCTGCCCAGAGAGGTTGTGGGTGCCCCGTCCATCCCTGGAGGTGTTCAAGGCCAGACTGGATGGGGCCCTGGGCAGCCTGGTCTAGTATGAAATGGGGAGGTTGGTGGCCCTGCATGTGGCAGGAGATTCATGACCCTTGAGGTCCCTTCCAGCCCTGGACATTCTGTGATTCTGTGATACCATGGACTTTCCTGGCCACCAGGGCACACTACTGGTTTGTGGCCAACCTGTTGTCCACCAGGACATTCAGATCCTTCTCTGCAGAGCTCCCCTCCAGTAGGTCATCCCCTAACCTGTACAGAGATGCATGCAGTTATTCCTTCATAGGTGCAAGTCTCTAACCCTTGTTCTTGTTAAATCTCGTCAGGTTCCTCCCTGTCCAACTCTCTAATTTGTCCATACCTTGCTGGGTGGTAGCAAGGTGTGTCAACCACACCTCCCAGCTTTGTATAATCAGCAAACTTGCTGAGTGTGGACACTATCCCTTCATTCAGATTGCCAATGAAGATGTTGAACAAGACTGTCCCTGGCACTGACCCCTGGGAATACCACTACTTACAGGCTTCCAACCAGACTCTGCACCTGTGATGACATTATGCCAGCCACAATCCACTGAGTTATTTCTTTAGGTGGATGTTTTCTTCTACCACAGATGTGTACACCTGTGTGCAATGTGCACTTGTGTGCAATGACTTTGCTCACCCAGTCTATGTTCCTCTTAGTTATATGCTTGGTTGCACCTCTGCTCGTTATTATCAATTAGACTCTTCTTTCTCCACTTCTGGTTTTTGCTCTTTTGCTGCATGGAAATTTACCATAATCCCAGCATACATGTTAGCTCACTTTCTGAAAATAAACTGAATTACTTTGGCAGGACTGGATCTCCTGCTTCACTTCTAGAACGTAGATTCAATTAAGCTTGTAGAAATCAATTAAGGTCATGTCTGGTTCTTTTTTTTTTTTTTTTTCTTCTTCTGTAAGCTGAATACCGGTAGCCTTTGCAGTGTTCCACTGTGATGATGGCAGAATCTCCATAGCAACAGCACGTTTGCATTCCTATAGAGTGTATAGGCACAATATAATGTCTATCTGAAAAAGCATTTTGATAAATATAATCACAGTTATTTAGTTTATGTGCTTAAGGATTTATTCTCATTAAGATAATAAAATCGTAACTAAAAAGTTTTGCTTATTTGCTTCACATTTTCACTGTTCCATCTTTATTGGAGGGTAGAACAACAATATTTCTTTGATGCTAAGTAATTGGAAGTTTTTATCTCCTTCCCCTGTAATTCACTAACACACAAACATGCACAAGAGCTGTCTGGATTGTTTAATCAAACTTTCCCTGAAATAATTTTTTGTTTCTTCTGCAGAATCTCTGATTCTTTTCTTCAGATGTAACATTTCAAGAAGGTCTTCACCCTCTTAAGACCATCCAAGAAAATTTTTTCATGAAGTACAGACAAGTAAACAAAACAGATTAGAAAAAAAGCAGCTAAATGGTAAGGTACAATTACACGAAATATAACAATTCACACACAACATATATACATTTTAAGACTGAAATCAGAACATTATGGATACCATCTTACCCTAAATTCTACCACTTCTAGCAAATGGACTAAGAGAGTTTAAAATGAAGCTACCTTATTTTTTTCCTTTACCATTATCTGTAGCATGATCCAGTAGAAAGCAGGCCTGGTTTCACATGTCAAATTCAGGACAGAAGCACAAAGACTTTACACTCAAGTCACTTCATTTGTTGGTGTTTTCATTTTGACCCCCTATGTGGCTAAATGATATCTGTGATTAGGAAACAACTCCAATAGTTCCTAGATATTTCAAGAACACAGATCATTCCCCTCTCCAACCAGTAGAAAAACCAGTAGAAAAGAGCATGCCAGCTCAGGATAGGCTGAATTTTAGCTAAGGATTTCAACTCAATTCAAACACAGAGACTCAGCCAGTTCATTGTTGAAGTTACTAAGTTCAGACACAAACCACAGTCCCTCAGTTCAAGAATTCACGTACTATCCAAAACACAAAGTAGAAAGATGTCAAGAGAACCCTGCTAACTGAATGCATCTCTTATCATGCTCACTATATAACTGCTTGCCCTGATTATCCACTTTACTGTCTAGGACCAATCATTGATGCCAACCACTGAAAGTTATTCCTATGGTCCTTTTTTTCCCTCTCTTCTTTTAATTTCACATACCCTCTCTGCCCATTTGTTAGCAACACATGTGCCTCAGTAAGTTTGCTGAGTTTTTGCTACCTGTTCTGTGGGACAGCAGATTTATCACCAATATCACACAAGTAAGTATTCTAACTACGTAGCATTGACAAATAATTCATGCCTCTGCATATGATATTCACCACTCTCCAAATCTGCATATATATATACACAAACATATATACATATATATATGTATATGTATTTATAAATCCTTTCATCCCTCTATCCGCCCCCCCAAGAAGTTATCTGTAGTTGCAACTGAGGTGGGTTTCTCAGACACATTTCAGTAATAGTACTTGACTCTACCATGATCTGTACTCACACAAGCAAAAAGGCCACATATATAAATATATAGTTGTGTATTGAATCCAAGTCTTCATTTAACAGTTAGAAAGTGGAAACAACCTAATTATTGAATGGCAACATATGAGGAAACAAACCAGAGTCTTTAGATTTGCCTTGATTTTTACGTAGCAGAAATAGTAGGGTTTTGTATTAATTTTCATTATCTTCATTCAACAGCGGAAAGATAGAAAACTAAACACAAGTGAAGGACATAGAGAAATTAAAGCTATATAGGACAGTGCTTTGAGAAACTAACGAAACATTAGCCTTTTAAAGAAAAATACTCGAGCATAGGAAAGAGGAACTTAGGGGGAGTGGGGGAGAGAAGGGCAAGAAAAAAAAATAAGGGAAATATGTAAGCTCAACAGCAAAGAACGAAAGGGCATACCTGCAATTACCTGCAAATTTTTTCTAGTGACAGATGGAATTTTCAGTTTAAGTTCCACAAAGCATTTAACTGACAAAATAAATTAGAAGTGAAAAGTGAGTAAATCACTTCTAGAACTTCATCCTCTTCCCCTAAATCAAATAAATAACTTAGTCTCTTTCAAAGCAACATTTATTGAACAACGCCACCCTATACTTCTGCTTGAAGCACCACTTAGAAAAGAAAAGAGACTCATTAAAAACATTAGCAATATGTAATATTCAAAATTTAGTCTTTGATGATGTCTTTTTGTCTTGTCAGTTATTGCAGCCTACAGCAAATGAATACAGCTTGAACAGATGCAATACAACAAGTGTCCCAAAGACTCTTTAATCCTAGCAGAAGGGCTGTATTTACAGATTTGTGACCCTTATTGCCAGGGAGGAGGACCTGACCAGGAAAGCTGCTTTTAAAAGTATAATCAAGTGAATTAAGAATTAGTTGGTACCCTCTTGAATGAAAGCACATGCACATACACACACACACACACACAAAGTACAGTACTCTGGAGAAAAAAGGAAGGAAAACAAGTTCTTTGGAACAGGAGGAAAAAAAAAAAAAGAACAAAATAGCAAGATATCAAAGGGATAATACGCAATTATCTTCCTTAAAAGAACTTGGGTAAGAAAGCAAGTATGACAAGATCTTGATGCCTTAGGGTTTTGATATTTAACAGAATAATTGTAGAATCACGCAATGACTTGGGTTGGAAGAGACCAAAAGACCATCTAGTTCCAGCACTCCTGCCATCAGTACTTTGCAGCAATTGACCAAACATTTTGACTCTACAAAAACACTAGAGAAATAATTAAAAAAAACCTCTATCATAAAAAAATCAAAACAACAAACCAGTCATTAAACACCGCAATGCTTTAGAGCACGAGTAAAAAGATGACAGTGTCAGGAAGCAGCTTTTCCAAGATGCGTGTTAATTCCACACTATCCACTGGTCATCACATGAAGCGAGCAGTACAAGAGAGAGAAGACTGGACTATTTGAATCAATTCAGTTTAGCCTGCTTTTTTTTTTTTTTTTTTTCCCAAACTGTTTTCTCACTTAATGGCCTGAGAGCACCTCAGTGACTCTGCTGATTAGCTGGAGCAACCCTGTGGCAAATGCAAATCAGTCAGAACAGCTAGCTTTTATAGAAGTTAGCTTCTAAATGAAGTTTCGATTCTATTTAATTAAAGACATGCTCTATATTTAGGTGATGATAGCAATACCTTAATTTCCATTCAGTTTTCAGACAAGGCCTAGGGAAAAAGAGTAAGCTTGAAAAATTCTGCAGTATGGCTTTGACCAAATTCAGATCCAGCACATTTCCCCTTAAAATTTAGGCTTAGTGTTGGTAGTACGGAGATTTTACATTATCTCTATGCTCGCAGAGAGCCATTTGCTACATACAAGATTTAGTCCTGAGAGTCACTTGTACGTCCTTTAACATATATTTACTGTAAATATTCTTAAAATCATTATTCCTTCTTACAGTGGCTTGTAACGTCTCTTGGGGTCTCAACTGCTTCAGAGCAGCCAAAACTTAGCACTGATCTGAAAGCACTGTGCTGTTTAACTCTCTGATCTCATGATGGGAAGGTGGAACAGAAACATACCAAAGCTATGCTACACATTTAATAATAGCCTCTGTTCCTGTTCTAAACTATTCTCCTTCCTACAGCAACTTCCTGATATGTCCTTCACCTGTCTTGAATCTAAGTTTCTGTGTATGACGTAGCAGATAAGAGAACTCTTCTTTTTCAAAACCACAAAGATTGCATGTAGTTTCACTATATGCCTACTAAAATTCCAATATATTCTGAGATGGAAATCTCTTGTATCAATGCAATCCTATATGGTTAAAAAATAAAGTCATTGTTTTTCCTGAAATATTTGTGCTGTTAATTAGCTTGTTGATTTAAAATGAAACAAACATACAAAAAACCTTACCCTCTATCAGTTTTTCAGAGTGCTACCTTTCTGTTGCCATGGTCACAAGTTACCATAGAAACTATTAGACTCATCTGTATTTTTAGATTAAACTTACTTCTACTCTCACAAAATATGGATTCAGTTGATAGAAACTACTGATTCTTAGCAGAAAATACTGGTATTAGAGTGACACTGCTGAGGCACACACATACACGAAGAAATAGTTTAATTGCAGAAGAAACAAAGAGTTGCAAACACTACCATTTACAGAGCTCCTTCGTGAGCTAGAAAACAGTCTGAATGGACAATTAAAAGCTTTGAGGACAGTTATTGTCTACTACTGTTGTATCCATAAGCTTTGGTAGAAAATATTTAAATTAAAAAGCCCAGCAAGATTAAACAGCCTTTTTAGATAGGAGACATCTGCAGCATTACTTCATATTTCTCTGCTACGGCCCCTCCCTTTTTTTTCTTTTTATTTTTTAAGGTCGATTTTACTTATTTATGCCCTCTCTTTCTAAGCAGGAAGTTCACTTAAAAGATGTTCGACCAGTCACACTCAAGCTATTTTCAGGCAGGTCTTTGCTCCCTCACTTTCAGTGATTTTACGTTGCATCATGCCCTCTGGTGGGCAAACATAAATTCACAACCCTGTGAATTAAATGCCTTTGGATCAGAACTGCGCTAATGGGAAACATTATCACGAAAATGTTATAGCAGAAACAAGCATTATTATGTAGTCTTTAATTTGTGCACTTCAAGGAAGGTCTTTCAGCGACCTTTGCCTGGCTAGATTCATCTCAGCTTTTCCATTTTCTCTCTGGACTCTCATTCATACAATGCTAGCTCATACATAGCTCAGCATACCTGAATTTAGATGTGAATTCAGGGTCAAATGTCAAAATAAAAGTTTCATCTACCTGTGCGATTCTCAACATTTGAGAAATAATATGAGCAGGAAAATCAGAAGTGACAAGTCCATCAACTCAGTGATTTCCCCAGGAGGCAGCACCATGAATACAAACTAAGGTTTGAAGATCCGTGTTGTTTAAGAAAGTCATCAAAAGAAATTCAGCTTGCTTTCTTGTTGTTAAGTCATAAGCATTACTTAAGATAAAAAAACTTAGTTTCTGTGTAAAAACATTACCTAAATTGTAAAATCTGGAACTGTGTGAAGCAAGTGATGGCACAGGTAATCCAACAACAACAAAATACACACAACTGCCAATTTCCCAATTTATTAACTGAATCCTGCTACTCCTTAACATCTTTAACAATTCTCTATTTTAAATCCTCATGGCATGTTTTTGTCGTAATTCTTCAAGATAATCTGCTGCAGTTCCCTCAGTTGTATCTTCACACAACTACTTTCCTGACTTTGTAATTTTCCAGCAGAATCTTCTCTTTCTATACTTTACATCTCCACTGACATGTAATGACCAGTAAATAACTCAAGATTGCAATTAACGCTTGACAGGAGAGCATTCTGGGTGCTGACCTGCTTTCTGAGCAAAAGTTTGCCTTACAACATTTTGTGCAGCATTGTTTACACTCTGCTCCTGAAAGTTCTAAGAATCGGTTGGAATCAACTTGTGAGAGTAAATAATGAAAAACATTCCCTCAAATGAATTCTCGCCGATCCCTTTTTGGCAAGGTTCCTCTGATATTCCATACAATTTTCTCTGGCTTTGACTTTTTTTCCTCTGCTTGCACTGGGAATTAATTTTTGAAAATGAGAGTCAAAACTACTTGTACTCTGGTGGAAAATGTTCTCTGATATTCACAGTTAGAATTACAATCTATCACGAGTTTGGTGGGACCCACAAGGACCATCGAGTATAACTCCTGGCTCCATACAGGACCACCCCAAAAAAAAAAAAAAAAATCAAACACTACCATCTGAGTGTTGTCCCAGTACTTCTTGATCTCTAGCAGCTTGGGGCCACGATTAGTAACTACCCTGGGGAGCCTGTTCCATGATCACCACCCTCTGATGCACAACTCTTCCCAAACCTCCAGCCTGACTCCTCCTGACAAAGCTCCATATCGTTCCCTTGAGTCCTGTCCCCGCCACCAGAGATCAGAGCTCAGCAATGCCCCTCCACTCCGTATGAAGAACCGTAGGCCACCATGAGGCCTCTCCTCATTCTTCCCTGCTCTGGGCTGAGCAAACAAAATCACATTGTCCGCTCCTTATACATCTTGCCCCCTAGACCCTTATATTATGGCCCAGGGTACAGTTGGCCATTTTGGCTGCCAGTGCACGCTGCTGACGCACGTTCAATTTGCTGTCAACCAGAACCCTCAGATCCCTTAAGACAGGTAGTCAAGTGCACACGCAGAAGTGATAAGCTGTGTAAAAAGGTGATATTCAGCAAAACACTGAATTAAGATGGTAAAATATCGTTGAGTACTTTAAACACTATTTGAAGGAATTTATCTTATGGAGGCTATCTTACTGGCTTTCATTCACACACGAAAGCTAATAATTTGTTAGAGAGTAACCATTCTGTTCGTACAGTCCCTGACATAGTTATCTCTCTAGAAAACTATAACGTAGAATTAAGATATTCATACTTTAAGTCTAACTTACCTCTCATAAAATGTACCAGCTGGGTAGTAGAAATGCTTCAGTGCTCATTTATGCATTTCCGATGTCCGTTGTCATGAATATAGATACCACAATTCTGATACATGGCGAGTCAAAAATCTTCATTACCTCATACAAATTATAAGCAAACAAGATAAACTACACACAAGTGCTTCTTACTCTCAATTTCAGAATATTTTTCAATGCATTTTAAACACACACACTACCTGTGCGCCAAAGAGGCATTTCCAACAAAGCTTCAAGAGAAATATCTCCCACCCTTAACGGTGCAAGCATGCTTGAGGCCCATCTCCTGTATGACAGAACAACATTTTGTCCAAACTCTGGATAATAACCAGAAAACTTATTTTCTCCTACTGTTACCAAAGCAATGGAAACTATGAAAACTAGGAAATTTCTTGGGTTTTTTTTTTTTTTCTTTGCTTGTTTGTTTGTTTTTTTTTTTCCTCGTTTGTCTGAAAGGGCAGAGAGGAAAAAAGCAAAAAAAGAGTTTCTTTAAACATGTTGTAATTGCCCACTGTTTAAATACACAGAGTATAGACACCTATACACAGTTTATTTGCATGGATGAGCTAGGCTAATCTTCCTTGTCAAGAAACAAGGCAAATCAACCGGTTAAATTTTGCTGCAAGTCAACTACTTGCATTGATACTTACTGAGACTTACTTATCCACACCCAAGCTGTTATTCCTACAAGACTGCTATGAAATGTACTCTGGCAGTACTGCCTATATTTGTTTGCCATTTAGCAAAGCTCTCTCTTTCTGACCTGCTGCAAAGACTATGACTAAATTTCTTATCTTTGATTAGTCAGTTTAGCACTGCATTTCAGCTGTAGCAGCAAACATTTCAGATACAGCTCAGAAAGTTGCCCATTATATGAAACACCGAAAGTACTTTCAATTTTGCATCTTCTCACAAATGTTACTTTTAGGGTGTCAGAGCTGAGAAACAGAGCAAGAAAATAATGACTTGCTTGTTATGTGTTCATAGAAAAAGTTTAGGAAAAGCAGTAGATACAACCTAATTACCAGGAAAAACAAAACAAAATAAAAAGCATGCTTATCACTTCATGTTATTGTGATTCCAGTTTTTCTTTACAAACAGAACACTGACAATTATGACATGGAATGTTTGAGATTCTACAGATAGCTGGTACATGACTGTAGCAAAATCCAGCATTTAGGAGGTGCAAAATACAGGCTTTGTGCATTCAATTTCCCAAATTAACCTATCCTCTGGAGCTCTTTGCTAGTGTTTTCCTAGTATAAGATGTCTACTACAAAATGCTTGATATTTATCAGGTACTTCCCACAGTCCGACTGACCACTGAGGAAAAATTCAAACTCTATGGTTCTGAAATGATGAAAGGTTCAAGAATCTAAATACACATAGGTCAAGCCCAGCTTAGAAAGGTGGATGGTTTCTGTAAGAGAGAAATCAGATTCCAATCTGTAGAGTGCAGAGCTGAAGTAAGGTCAGAGGTTCAGAAAAAAGTTGTCACTATTTCCTAGACAAATCTGTACCACACATAGCCCATTTTCACCCTACCCTATGTCACAAGACAGGTTCTTTGCTACTGTGAAAGCTTATTGTCTTCATTAACCTTCAAACTATTTGTTCCCACTAGATGCTCTGCACACTCCTTAAGATCTCTTCTCATTTGAAGCCATTAGCCACAGCACCCTAGAAACAACATAAAACTGAGCTGTTTACAGCATCATGTAATAGTGCCAAATTCCAGATGAAAGGTCACCCTTCTCCGATCCTTCCTCCTTGGTAACCCTGAAGTACATTCCCATGTTGCGTGTGCATTTATGCATATAGAAAAACATTGAATTCAACCATTAACAAAACATCAAATTCAGTGGGCTCCAGACCACGTATAACACAGGAACTCTTGGGCAACCAGCTCTAGGTAGCCCTGCTCAAGCAGGCCTGTTAGACCAGATGACTTGCAGAGATCCCCTTCCGAACTCAACCATTCTCTGAACTCACACAGCCTCAAGAATATTTTGCAGGTTTTCTATGTGTATTCACAGGGCAACTCAGAGAGCAGCACAAGATGTGTCAGCCTGGTGGTTCCCAAAAGGAATCTAAGAACATCTCTAAATCTAAACAATTACATAGAGGAATGTCATTCAGCATCTCCCCAGCAAACAGCAGACTAATATGTCAATGCAATGTCTTCATCAGAAAGAAGGATAAGAATTTTCTTCCTCTCTCCAGATTTCTCTCTTAGGCAATAACCCATACTTTCTAGAATTGCATGCAAGTTTGGAAGACAGAATGAAAAACTCAGAACAGCTCAACAGTTGTTCTCAGGCTCATCGACACTACACAGTTAACACACAAGCCACCTTCATACAATGCTCTGTGCGGCCAGAGAACCGCCCCAATTTCCTCCTAAGGCACACACTTCCTGCCGATCAAGACGGCAATAGAGAAATAAAATTCAAAAGTATTGATTTCTGGAAATTCAGGGTTCTCTAGGAATCTCTTTCTTTCTGCGTTTCTTTCTGTGTCCAGAGGAAATTATGTTATGAGAAAAGAGGTATAAATGCTTTCTGAACTCAGTGGGTTCTACTGCAAGGTATGGATTTAACCATTTGCTTAATTACACAATCAAGCTCACAGAAGATACTGAATAGAAACTACAGTCTAGCATTTCCTGATGAAAACATTGAACAACAGCTGTTAAAAGCATTTTACCAAAACAGCACATTCAGCACTCTCATTAGCAAGAGAATTTCTATGCAAGACCATGTCATCCAGTGCAGAACTATATCTAGGAACTCACTAAGGGTGGTGGCAGGTCTGCAGAGGCTTTGATCAAGCAGAGTGAAATTTAGCAGTCACATTTGTACTGGAAGAAGAAAACAGTGTCCATATAAGACATTCTCTTGCTCCGGGTTAAGTTCTGCTAACATCATCAGCTTTGTATCTCACATACTCCATTTAGCCTGTAATTACTCCAGATTCTCAATTAAAAAAAGAAATAATTTAGTCTCCCTATACAAGAAGTCAGAGCGACTGACCCATACTTACCCAAAGGCTATGATATCAAGCATCAATGTTAAGTAAAAGATACTTGGTAAAGCATCTAGTTCAGGAGGACAAAAGCAAATCCAAACACCAAAATTGAGTCTTCAGAAATTCTTCTTGCAATTAAAAGCAGGACAAGTTACTGCAGATGAACTGAATCTAGAAAGCATTCTGGAAAGTCAGTGTATGAAAACCAAATAATCAGAGACTATCAAAGCATTTGCACAAGAAGGCAGAAAGATTAGCATAAGGACAGACTAACTAATCCTTTGCCTCCAAATCAACTCCCTCACACTGATTTAGATAAATAATTTGCCATGGAGATTTTTAGTTGGGAAAGAAGAATACAGAAATATGGTTATATAGAGGTATTTTGAGTATAGAGAATAATAGTTTGTCTTGTGTCCTAGAGTTTCTTGTACTGAACGACTCCTCACAACTTAATCTTCCTCATATTCAACAAGGAGAGGTATTTTCACTGGGAACAGAGAGAATTCTTGCTGTAGTACTTGCCATTCCATGTATTAGTGAGGCATGTATACAGTGTTTTCTAACAGAAGAAAAAATGAACATTTTCTACTTCCCCTTCCACCCTTTGCCTCCCCAACTCAAATCCCAAAGTCAAATCAAAGATTTTCAATTGGATCCTGGGTAAGAATTTGTGCACACTTTAGGACAACTACTTATGACAAGATACAAGTTTTTAACATAGTCAGTTAAGGTTTAAAATTTTAAAAGTGACAAAGAAAAGTAGAAACAACTTAATTGTTTTCCCCAAACATTAGGTAATTCATAATAATGTGTCATCAAGACAATATGAAATGAAAAATTCAGCCTCAATCTTCAACTTTACAGATTTCCGAAGGGCTATTCTTTAGGACAGAAATATTTGTGGAATCTTACAGCAGGGATTCTATACATTGTCAATAACAAAATGCTGGGTCTCTGCGATGAATCTACTGTAATTTGAGAAATATACAGCAAGAGACACAAGCAAATATGAATGTCTGCATCATGAGCTCTCTGTGACGGTGCTCCCCCATTACAGAACTCAACAACAGGAGAACTATGCATTTCTATTCATCTTTTCTCTGCAGTTTCACTCCCACAACATACATTCCACATACAATGTAATTCTGTTATAAGCACTGGATGTTGCTCAGGTCTCAGAACATTGATAAACATGGCTAATGGTCAAAAAAGAAAATTTGTGCAAGAGCTGGAGTAGGATAAAGCAAGATGACTGATAAAGCAGAATAGTGAGCCCTAGTCACTCCACCTCTCTTTTATCCTCCATAAATTGAATTCTGCAATTAGACAAGCTCGTACATCAGCTATTTGTCTGTTCTTGTACTCTGAGAATAGATCTCCTAAAGCTGAAAGACAAGGGCTTCTGGAATTCTCTAGTATGTCTGCAAACTACAGTGAGTCAGATTTTCCCCAGAAATCTGCTAGAAAGTAAGAATCAGTCTGTAGAAAAGCATCATTGTGACACGGAATTCAATAACTGGCAAAGCAACATTCCCCCTGACTGCTTTTCCCACTACACGGAAATCCTCTCACTCTGATGATTTTACAGGAATCAAAGTGAACAACAGAAATAAAATTCAAGTGGCTTTAAAAAAAAAAAAAAAAAAAAAAAAGGAAATTGCCAAAATCTTATGAATGATCACCTTTCCTTCTCAACAGTTACCTCCCATGGATATCTGTATCTGCTCCTTCATGTATGCAGACAACAGCAGATTTTCTTCATAACTAAGCTTACTAATTGCCTCACTAACCTTTTAGAAAAATAAAAACAAGCTCATCTTCCAGTACTAAAATCCATAATCTGGTTTACTCCTCCCATGAGCGAGTCCTTTACATTCAAAAGCACTCAGCATACATCATTTAAGTTACCTTCTGGAAGGGGATGGACATGACAGTTGTGGTCCGTTCTTAAGACGGATGAATCGTTGTGGGCACTTCTTAACACAGCTGCAGAAGGATACCCAGAGCAAAATAAGACAATGTGGGGAGCCACCCAACCCCAAGGAACTCCATTGTCTAATTATTTTTCCAGCATCAGTGCAACAGGTATCTCTAACCCTAGTCAGTTCTCCTCATCAAGATTCTCTCCAGCTAGGGTTATAGGGAGGGAATTTCAAAGCAACAGGTTATGTACAGACACATTAGCACTTTCTCCAAGAGGGGATGAAAAGGAGAAAATTCCTGAGGATGTGCATCCTCTATTCCATGTTCTGAATCCCAGCTTCCCCCCTTGACCTTAGAGCGAGCTCTACAAAGCAGTATCTGTTATGTACATTAATCTCAGCTCCCTTCCTTTGGAGAGTTTCCACTCAATAGCTACAGGCAAATCCTGGGACAGGACGGGTGTTATGGAGGGGAGGTCTCCTTAGGATGACTCTGCAGAAGTAAGAGAACCTGCAGCTTTCTTCTTAGGGCGGGCTTTCACACTTTTTACAGGCAGCTGAGAAGAAAGAAAGAGGTACCTTATATTAGTTTACTGCAACACCTAGATGTCTAATAGAAAGAGACGAAGATGCAGAGTGAAAATAGGACAAAGAGCTACAGCACAGTGACCCTATTCACTTCATCTATTCTTTCAAAAACACGACTTAAATATTCATTTTGTTGCTAATCAGATTACTCTCAGCATATCCTTCAGAAAACAAGGAGAGGAAGACATTATAAAACAGGAAATGCAATAGTAAATTGAAGTTAGCTGTCTTGACAAAACTTTAGACATCACAAAAGTTCTAAGCACTAACACTGACATAGCATTTCATTGCCATTAACTTTTCTGCTTTTTGATGACCATTCCTAATAGCCCAAATTGTAGAAACATCCTGAATTAGTAATTCAAACTAAAGAATAAGCCACGTATGAAGAACAATATGCTTACAAAGGGCTTTATTAGAGTTTCTGTATTCACAGTGAGCAGAGAGTCATTACAGCCTTTTCACAACTTTTGAGTCACTTCAACAATTCCTCACTAGGAAGCATGGGAACAAATATTTTCCTTATGTTTTCCTACCCATTTCCACTATATTAAGGAAGAAAGTAGAAGAGTCAACATAGAAGTAAGCCATGGAGATTTAAAAAAGATCCAGACCTATTTTGAACACTTTAAAAATATCTACTGCCTAAATATGAAAGCAAAGCTAGGTCCTGGCTTATGACAAAGGCAGGTAATAAAAATACAAAAACTACAGAACAGGACAGCAAGCAGATGGCAAGTCCTCTGATGTAGGACTCTAGCAGCAAACTCTCCAATAACGTTTACAGAAAACAGCTTTTAAACACACAGACTATGAAGCCAGAGCCTTCTGACAAAACTCAGGAATCAATGTCTGTGTTGGAAACAATTTATACACCTGCTCACCTCAGATTTTGTCATCTTCTTGGGAGCTTTGAGGCTCTGTGTACGTTTTGGCAGTTTGTCTCCTGCATCTTCATCTGATGGGTCTGTTCTAATCTCTGATGGGGTTCCATTAGGCCTCTGTGCCATGCCGCTCTCCTCTCCTGAGGAGTAACAGGAAGCTAAGAAATAAGAAAAAGGTTTTTTTTCAAATATTTTTGAAAAGTCATGTCCACACATGATTTTTAGATTTTACGTGCTGACATTTAATCTAAAATGGTCCATCCTTAAGGACCACATGGAAGAGGGATGCCAAAATTCCTTAAGAAGGACAATCTAAGTACAGGGATTTATTATTTGTTGGGAAGGAACAAGGAAGAAGAACAGTTTCTCCAAGATAATTTGCAAACTTGTAGTCCTTCAGAGACCTGGTGCACGGAGGGAGGGATCCTCTCCTCACCTGCTGGCTTACCAAGTGAGGCCTCACACAGTGGCCCAGCAGGGATTTTCTGTACCTGAATCTTCAATAGTTTCAAGGAGAGTTCCTCCAGAGGGGCGAAGCTGTGACTCATGGCTTTGCAAATGCACAGCATCTTCATCCCGGATCAGAGTGAGATCCTGCATGCTGAAACTTCGTAGCTTCTCAGACAAAACTCCTTGGCCCTAAGGACATAAAAACTGGGGTCAGAGACACTTCACTTTCACCAAAATCATCTCGTTCAGAAAAAGGAAGGTGCCACATTCCCCACTACAATACTTTAAGACAAGCACAAAGAAACCATTATCACCAGAAAAAGAAGGAAAAAAGTATGCTCCCAAGCCCCATGGGGAAGAGGTTAGAGCAAAATCCATTCTACTCTACCTCTACTCATAAACCAAAGGATGAGATTTACTACAAGGCAAACTGGTGTTAAGGTAAAACAGACAACCAAGTACTAGCACCCCTAACTCACATAACTAATTCCTGGCATACACAGCTGAAGTACTGTGGAAATCCAGAGTGTCACAGAAGGTTAAATCATGTTTGTAGTACAGGTGTTGCATTACCTTTGCAGCTGCAGTAACTGCTGCATTTGCAGCCAGGTTTAATCCTCTTTTGCCAACTCGCATCATGGTTTCATAACTCTTGTCACGAGCCTGAGTAATGTATTCATCAATTTCCTAAGAAAACAACATGCACCACAGCATTTAGCTACCAATGAAAAACAAACAAACCAACAAATACAAACACTTCATCTGTCTTCCTCATCATCATCTTTAAAACTCACAGCTCATCAGGGCACCTTTTTTTCTTTCAGTCTGACAGACTAATCTGTCATACATCAAATAATTGTATTTTTTCTGCTACTTACAGAAAGCTTGCAAATGCAACTGTAACTTAAGGAATGCAATCTCCAAATTATCACATCTGAAACAAAGCAATTGCTTACAGTGAGAATGTGAAAAAACATCCTGGCTACAGAACATATGGCTACTAACATGATTAAAAAAATGTAACTACCGATAGTAGCTATAAAGGCTAAAGATACTGGGATAGCCAAACACACTTTCTAAGCATTAGGCAGAATACTGGTTACATTATATTCTTCAGTAGGCTGCAGAATGACATTACTGTCAGAGACAATCATTCTAGGCCTACACAAGTCAGCAGAAGCTCAAATTATGCATTTGAATTTGCATTAAGATTCACAGCTGATCCAAAATTGAATCAACTTCCAGACAGGTCAGTATGTTCCAACAAGTGAGTACCTTCTCCTTATTGGAGAGCGTTGGGTGCACAAACTTCCTGTAGAGGACACTGGAGCCCTTGGTGTAAGGAGAGAGCAGCCAAATCACAAATGCGATTTTCAACTCGAAATAAAAGGGAAACCTGAGAGAAAGAGGGAAGGGGAAAAAAAAAAAAAAGAAAAGAAAATAGGGAGAAAGATGGAGAACTGGAATCAAGATCATCACAGAGACAGATGGAGATAACTGGTAGACAGCAGCATAGGCAGAAAGAGTAAAGAGAAAGTAAGGACTCAAGCATAAAAGAATAATAATAATCAATATAACAGGTCAGAATAGCAGAATTCTCTCTGGAATCCTAGGACACACATTCCTGGAATTTCATTCAGTCTGGCATGCACAGCCACAAAAACCTCCATAAACTGGGCACCTCTAGCCCTGCAAACACACTGATCTGATTGCTACTCACCATTCTTAAGTTTGTTCAAAGACTATCTGCTGTATGCTACCATTACAGCAGTTTCATTTATTGGAGTTTTCAATTAAGTATCTCTAGAACTCTCTATTGTTACTAACACTGGTGGCTAGGAACAGGCAGCATAAGCCTTTCGTTGCTATTTCAGTGAAGTCTCTGGGAAGATACAACAGTGGAGATTCAAATAAGCGAACACAAAATTTCCTGCCTCTGCTGGCATTAAGAGACTGCTGTTATCAGCGGTTCACTTTTAAGGCAAAGCTCTCGTACTTTTCAGATCTTTGCTTTTCCAAATTTTATGCAGGAAGAGGCAAAACAGTGGAGCATATTCGTAAAGCATATGTAGCCACTTCTTATTTCTTTAAAAGACATAACTGTGACTAGTCTGTAATCTTCCAGATGCATGCAAGATACTGACACTAAAGCAATTAAGAAAATGATGATATTCTGTTGTCATTGAACAACTCTGTTTGAACACTGCCATGCATGATGCACAGTACTGAGGGATAAAAAGCTGCCTCACTCCAGCCCTGGTAGTGGAAGACATTTTCATCATGCAAAACATTCAGAGCAAAAGCATGCATCCAATCTGCTCCTCCATACAACAAGCTTGCAGAGCAAAACAGGTCCTTTCCTTCTATCATCCTCCCCCCCCCAACCTTTTTTTTTTTTGTGCCTCTAACTTTATCACTCCATGTAACAGCATCTCAAAAATATTTCATGTTGTGAATGGATGAAACCCTCTTAAAGAAGCTGTGTCCATCCTAGCTGTCTGAAATTAGATTAAACGGTTAAGACAGCAGCTTAGACACAATGTTTACAACCCCACATACTTCATGGGGATTGAAAACTCCTACACAAGAGAAAAAGCTTATTCTTAGCACTACCTTAAAACAAAACAAAACCAACAACAACAACAAACAAGCAAAACCATCACACGCTACCAAAAGTACTCACCAAGAAAGAACAATGTCTGTGAGTGTTTCTGCAGTGGTGAAAAAGGCAAAAACAATCCAGTACATCATCCACTTTACCTGCAAAAGACCAATCACTCACATCAGAAAAGAGAAAAATAGCAAAATGTCCTCTCAGTAAAGATGACTCATCATTTCCACACACTAAGATGAAGTCAGCAGAAAAAAAAACAACACGTATAATCAGCAGTATAGATGCCAAACGTTACATTTAGTACAGAAAACCATGTAATATTAATGTTCACTAAACACATAAATATTATATAAACATAAAATATCATTAGATATATAACATATAATAATGGTGGGTGGCACCACTCAAGGGGCTGCATAAGGAATGGAATTATTTAACATCATTATCACTGACATAGAAAGTAGCATTGAATGCACACACAGCAAGTTTGTAGAGGAAACCAAGCTGTGTGCTGCAGTCAACACGCTGGAGGGAAGGGTTGCCATCCAGAGGGACCTGGATGGGCCTCAGAGCTGGGTCCTTGCAAATGCCACAAAGTTCAAGAAGGCCAAGCACAGGGTCCTGCATCTGGGCCAGGGCAATCACAAACATGAATACAGGCTGGGCAGCGACTGGATCGAGAGCAGCACTGTGGAGAATTTGGGGGTACCGGTGAACAGGAAGCTGATGAGGATGAAGCTGGACTTGCAGCCCAGAAGGCCAGTTGTATCCTGAGCTGTGTCAAAGGATGCATGTACAGTAGGCTGAGGAAGGTGGTTCTCCCCATCTCCACTCTCATGAGAGCCCACCTATGTACTGCATTCAGTTCCTGGGTCCCCAGCATAAGAGAGACGAACTTGTTTGAGCAGGCTCAGAGAGTGGCCACAAAGATGACCAGAAGGCTCCAGCCTCCTGATCTATGCAGACAGACTGAGACCTAACAGTGGCCTTCCAGTATTTAACGGGGGCCTACAGGAAAGATTGGGAAAGACTCTTTATTGGAGTGTAGTGGTAGGACATAAGGTCAAGGTTTTAAGCTAAGAGAGGATAGGTTGAGATTAGCAGTTAGGAAGAAATTCTTTGTGTTGAGGGTTGTGAGACACTGGAACACGTTGCCCAGACTTGTGGATGCCGCAAACCTGAAAATGCTGAAGGCTGGGTTGGATGCGTCTTTAGGCAACCTGACCTAGTAGTAGGTGTCCTTGCCCAAGGCAGGGGGATTGGAACAATGCGATCTTTAAGGTCATTTTATGAGTCAGTGATCACATTTGTTCAGAAAGGATCAAAGTTAATTTGCAGATGACACCCAAAATATCAAACAGACTTGCTCTGTTGCTAGAAAGAGACAAATTATTTACTTATCCCTAAGCTACCCTATCCCTACCTCTTGCTACACTGCTTCCCTATACGGGCTACAGAGTCACTACAAAGTTTCCAGAAAGCTTATATAAATATTAAAATATAGTGTACTGTTGAAGATAAAAGGTAAGGAACTCTTGAGGATTAACAGTTGGTTCAAAGACACAGAAGAAAGGATAAAAATAGAAGGAAAAAGACAAAAGAAAGGATAAAAATTTCATTTTCAGAATGAAAACAGTATCAGAAAGAGATAAGTACCATGGTTACATAAGTTAGCTCATAACACCCAGAAATAGAGTAGACAGTCTGATAAAACTAAGTTCTGTCTTACTAGACCTTTTTAGTAGTAATGCAATGGTCAGGAGAACTGAGTGGAAGTGTGAAGAAATAAAAAAACATTGCTATGTTACTGTTCAAATGCGTGGTACATTTAAATGTATGGCATATTCACATCTTCAATAAGGGACATGGATCTGGACCTTGCCCTCTTCTCCTCTTGCCACCATTCATTCTACCCCTCTACCCCAAGAGGAAAAAGAAATGCAGTTAAATATGGCAGAGGGAATGAAGTTCTAGGTCTAGAAGTCACCGAAGTGTAGATTCTCAGGAGCTAGAATAGCGGAAAGCATGGGGAGCGGCAGATGGGGAAGAATATTTCTTTATTTCCCTTATATTTCTAATCCAAAGATTACTAACATCTTCAAAAAAACTGACAGTCAAGCTAAGCTATATTTGTTCTTTGATACTTTAAAGAGAAGTCAGGTCCTTGTTGCTCAACATACGAATAAACACCTGTTTCAGCTAACTGCACATTTGCACATAAATCGTTTCCCCAGTTTGCACCAAGAACCTAAATAAAGTCACTAAGTACAAAAGCATAAATGAAATGTAGATTTATCAAAGCTACACACCACATGTAAAAGGAAAAAAAAAATACATTTTAAACAGCGTAAGGCACTAGAAATAGTCTGTCAAGGCTGGTTGAGGACTTGAATCTTTATCACGGTGGGCTAAGAGTGATTGCACTGTACTCTAATGCTGTTGCTGAACTGCATCTGTTGTCTCAGTCTGTATCACGGTAGCCTTCAATACATCATACTCTCCACCATAGATACACCTGTAAGGTCTTCCCCTACCAGCCATGTTGGTTCTTCAGCATTATGAGCTAGTTGTAGTGCACAGACACAGCTGGCTTTGTAGCCACGCATCACAGCATTCAAGTTTTTCACTGACATTTCACATGAGTAGTTTGAACAGAAATCACTTTCCCCTTTACTATGTTTAAACAAAACTTCTTTGTTCTGGTCCCTCTGCTTCTCTTGAAAAAACACAAAGCCCTCTGAAGATTAATGATTTGGACAGCTGGAATCTATCATATACATGTTTAGTTCTGATGTAGTCCTCTTAAGAATAAATAATTTAAGGAAAGATTAATTTTGTTATTTCAGATGCGTTGAATCAAAGATCAGGTTACTAACATGTAATTAGCTGCCATTTTGGTTTTAAAAACTTAATGAAACTCTAGTACTGTATTTCATTTCTTTTTTATCGCCAGATTAGAAAGACCTGCTGCAATTAAGGTAACATTTGCCAAAAGAAAATCAGATCAATAGAAGGTTTATATTCTGCAAGACATCACGTTTCTGTACCTCAGCAGCCAACCTACCCACAGAAAATAAGCAAGTTTTTACTGTAAAGTGTGTCTATAAATTCAAAGACTACTTGGGACCATGAATTCCATAACTCTAACCCTAACTTCAGTAAGGTTCAAAGTATTCCTGACTATACCTCTAATACCATCTCCTAAACACTCTTTTGGATGTCAGTGTATACTGAACATTGACATTTTTACTTCTCTGTGGAAAGAAGGAAAGAAGGAGGAAAGGAAAAGTAAAAATCAGCTGAGCTAACTGTTTTTAAAGCTTTCCACTATGAGACAATTTTGCTTCAGCCTCTATTACATTCTAAACTCTGTAGGCTGAATTTTAGGTAAAGGCATAGGAAATGTCTAGGCAGTTCTGTAAGACTGAAGCAGCATAAGAAAGATCCTGCAACATTTATCACTGACGTGCTATTTTGCAAGTAGGAAACAGAGATGGTTAGATGGAGAATCTCAGACTATACTGCAAAGCAGCATCAGTAACTTACATCCTACTCAGAGAAGAGAGGTAATGTGGCTATCTGACTATTCATTGCCCTAAACAGAAATAAATTCATTCTACCCGTAAGCCAAATAACTCACTTTCACTAATCAACTTAGAACAATAGCACTTCTCTAAAGGTGGCACATTTCATCACTGAAAATCACATGGTGCTTTAAATAATGCAATTGCAACAATAACATAGGCAGAGACAGAGAGGGAAATGATCGCAGGAAGGAATGAAAATGAAGTCTTGACTGAGAGAAATTGCTGATAACGGCAAGGAAAAAGTTGTAGAACGACACTGCATAAGAAAAGAACTCAAGAAATAACTCGTCCCTGGACTTCCATGTGCTTACAGACTGCAGTGTTTCCTCCCATTTCTCCTTCCTCAGACGTTTCCTGGGAAAACAAAAAACAAGCCCACAACCCACATTTACAGCTTTAAGCCTCCCATTTCAGTACACATCCTTCGCCAGCAACTTATCCGAAGGCCGTCGGGCTGCTCTTTAGGTAGCCCGGCCAACTCGGCAGCACCGCGGGGCGGGCAGCTCCCGGCACCACCGGCTCGAGCCGCGGATTGGCGGGGCAGCCGCGAAGGAGAGCGCCGGTACACGGCGAACCCATACTCACATATTCCTTCACGTTTTTCGTCTTCACGGCCTTGTAGGAGGAGTAGGCGGGGTAGAGCGTACCGAATATCAGCCTGCAAGAAGAACGAACCCCTCAGCACTTCGCGGCTCCCTGCGTCCTGCACCGCCGCTGCCCGTGCCCGCCTCCACGGCCGGGAGCCCTCGGCGGCTCCCACTCCTCCGCGGCCGCCGCAGGAAAAGGGCTCGGCCGCCCCCACCGCAGCGCCGCCGCCCTTATGGGAGGCCGCCGCTCCAGGGCCGCGGAAGCCTACGCAGAGCCGTCAGGACGCGGCCGCAGACCGCGAAGACAGCGGCCGCACCGCGGTCCCCCCAGGGACGCCGGATTCTTCCCCGGGCTGGAATCCGCGGCACCGCCGCAGCTCCATTCCAGGCGGCGGCCGCGCCCCGAGCGGGGAACCCGGCCCGAGGACGCCCCGCGCATCCTTCCTCCCAGACTGCGGTACTCACACCACGAGACGGGAGATGATCCAGGAGACCATGGCGGCGCCGGGCAAGGTCGGGCGGCGACACACGGCTCCGCGGCGGCAGGAGGCGGCTCTTAAAGGGCGGGTTCCTGCAGCAAGCACCGTGCAGCCCCGCCCCGGCCTCTTACGGGGGCGGAGTCGACGGGCCGCATCGCGCACCGAACCTCCCCCGCCCCGTTCGGGCAGCACGCGGCACTCGGGCGGTTCCCGCGACCGTTCGCTCCGGGCGCCAGAACCGTGCGCTGCCCGGGGGCAGAGCGGCGTCTCCCCCGAGCAGAGAAAGGTTACGGCAGCGTGGCTGTGAAGAGGTCCTACCGGAAAAATGATAGGCGAGTAACACGTACGAAGTGAGAAAAGCTACAGAAGAGGCAGCGATGAATTAAGGCGACAGTCGCTTTAGGAGGCAGTAAAAGAGACTAATGGGCAAAGCAGTCTTCTGAAGTTAAAAGTTACTTGCTCTACAGAGTCCAAAACGCCGCTAACATATAGATTACTTAAATTCACAAGCCTTTCCAAGGCTCCTAGTTCCCTGGATGTGAAATTACATTAGCTAACAGACACAGGTGAGCGTTATCAAACTTAAGGGATGGAGGCTGTTTCCAGGATAACTCCACAGTGCCTGGTGCTCTTGAGAATTGCTGTGAGGCCTAGGATTGCCTAGCTATCCGAAAAAAACTGTAGAGGGGAGTAAATATTATCCATCTGCATATTTAGATGCATCAGCATACCAGAAAACACAGTGGCAAAATATTGTTTTAACAACTCAACCAAGAGTACCATTCAGAGAATCCTCCCCTTCAGCCACTGCAAGAGTTAATTAACAGACTGCTTTGCACCCCCTAAGTGAACTAGAGACAAAGACTGATCAGGCTCTGCACACTGATGTTTGAATCACGTTAAAATGATCATTACATAAGCCATTTATTAAAAAAAAGATTTGTTAGAAAGCCTACTGCAGTTTCTTACTACCAAAAACATAAATAACAAAAAGAACCCAAACAACAAAAATATATTTAAAAAAATGAAGGTACCGTGGCAGAATCTCATTACTTGTGAAAATAGCTCTTCTGAAAAGGGAATAAACCAAAGAAAGACCAAAAACAATGAGCTGCTAGGGAATAATTTTCTCACGGATGCATGAACCTCAGCATAATGAGCAATGATGAAAAACACAAAACATCAGCAACTTTCCATTACATCTAAGAGCTGAAAACAAAACTGTTGCTACAGACAGTGACAAAGAGCATTCTGTCACAGTCTGCTCATGGATATGAATGGTCACAAAACGATTGCATAAGAGACTGCACAATTTACAACACTGGCAGCACAAATTACCCACAAACAGAATAAAAGGAAAATGCTTTCACAAGTCCAAGCAAGAAAACATGCACTTCCCTCCTGAGAGTAACTGTATGTTTATTCCCATCAGTTTCCTATCAGCTTACAACAGCTCTGGTACCTGAATTATGTGTTCACATCTAAGTGAGCAAAAGATGCTGACAGAACAGGGAAAATTTGGAGACATCTTGGGTACAATGTATGAAGAGAATGGAGCATGGGTAAGCAGCAAACAAAGGAAGCGTGCCTTAGCGTTTTACATTGTTCAATGCATCGAGGAACAGTCTGAACATTTGCAGTGTATTATAAACAGTGACATAAACAACAAAGTACAAACATCAATATTAGTAAAGCAAGCAGACTTACAAATGTCTTAAGTGAGAGCTCATCATTAAGTGGCAAACTGAGCTTTAGAACAAGTTTAGCAGAAGCATTTTAAGATAGCGGTATATAGTTAGTAACAAGCAACTTTATTTCTTTCCGAAGAATGATAAATTAATCCATTAACTTACCTTCTAACAAGAAGAAACTGTTAGTACTGAAAGGCTATTTTTGTAACAAAAGCTAGCTGCAAATCAAATGTAAAAGAAAAAGTACGATTTATTGCTAGTAGCATTTTATTATTACTTATACAGCATAATGTTGTATAACTGAGACTGGAAGACTTATCTAAGAGAGGAAGAAAAATTGTTTTTAAATTCAGGCTGGTTTTCTACCAGATATGCTACTGCTGGAGATTGTGACAAATGTATTCTACAAATGCTTAAAATAGGTGATTATTGGCCATTATAGCCTAAACAATCAGACAAGGAAATCAAATCTTCCCTGAGAAACTTGAGCAAAACTACATTCAGACTGATGCCAGGTCAGATGTGGAGATCCTGCCAAATAGAAGTTCACGAAGAAGCTGCTGTAGATATCAGGGAAAAACCTGAGGGTGGCAATAAGATGTGGTTGCTTATTGTAACCAAAGCCTCTAATATGCACTGTCCACAGGTGCTTTCATACTGTGTTCCATTTACATGCAACGTAGCTCCACACATATTTTCCACCTAAGAAATACTTCTAAGATAAGCTAGATGGCTGAGCAAGTCACTAGCATGTGTCATGTATCTCAACCACTACTTCTTAACTGAAAATGTGAGGAAAAAAAGAGGGAAGCCCTATGCACACAGGAGCAATACATTTTAAAGAATATTTGTGCCTGATAAATTCTTTCATCTTACTGTTATTGCATATAAATCCAAATTACTGCTTGACACCCAACTTCTCCACTACAGTTCTGATTCCACATCCTCAGGTTCTAGAATAGATTACCTCAGTGCTGAGGATTAGCAAATGGGTCACAGCCATCAACATTTTAGTTACTTTTTTCCATATGTATTTTGCCTCAGAATACAGTTTATAAACAGAGAAATTAAGTTTTGCAAAGTTAACCTTTGCAGACTGTTGCATTTTTTTAATCAACATCAAATAAGAGAGCTGTTGAATTAATAAGAAGAGAGATCTTCAGACTGGAGTTTTTTTTTTTTTTTAATCTGAGACCAAAAGAGATGCGTACATCCCATCTAACATTTTGAAGACTGTGAAACAGCCAAATGACAGTGCTGAATATGCCCTTGTATGGCTGTTTAGCCATACATCAAACCTTCTGCATTGCGAATGCATTCTAAATTCACTTGGGCAGGTATATAGCTGTAAAAGCCTGTATCCCTGCTTCCATTTGATTCTAGTACCACAGGATTCCAGCTAAAAAACAAGCAGAATGTAAAGCCAATGTTGAAAATGCTGCCTGCCCACTATCTTACACAGCTCCACCCTGTAACAGAAAGTCACCATTCAGTAGTATTTACGTCACGGCTGCAGCAACAATTTTAAGACTTGCAAAAAGTTTTAATCTCCCCTCTGCTAAAAAAAAAATTGGTATCCTTTTACTTGATTATGATTCCACGTTTCACAGATGTTTCAAAAAAGATCATAAGCAGAAAACCATGTAATAAAGCTGCTGTTTGCACATCTTAAAACAACTTCACGATCACTTCAGTTTCCTGGTTTTGCTCTCTATATGAAGCAGTTACAGGAGATCACAGAATCGTTGAATGGCTTAGTTTGGAGGGGACCTTAAAAATCATTTCAACTCCCCTGCCACAGGCAGACTTGACAACCACCAGATCAAGCTGCCCAGGATCCCAACCTGGCCTTGAATATACCTCCAAAAAATGGAGCATCCACAACCCCTCTGCACAAAATGTGCCAGCACCTCACTACCCTCTCAGCTAAAAATATATTCCTAGTACCTAATACCTAAGCCTAATATCTAACCCTCTTTTAGTTAAAAGGTATTCTCCCTTGTCCTATCACTATCAGACAGTAGTAAAAGTCTGCTCCCCTCCTGCTTGCAAGCTCCCTTCAAGTACTAGAAGGCTGCAATGATATCTCCACAAAGCCTCTCTTCTCCAAATTAAATATGCCCAACTCCCTCAATCTTTCTCCATAGGAGAGCCCTTTGATGATCTCTGTAAGTCCTCTGGACTCGGTCCAGCAAATCTGCATCCCTTCTGTACTGGGGGCCCCAGGCTTGGGCACAGTATTTCAGATGGGGCCTCACAAGGGCAGAGCGGAGGGGGACAACCCAAACCCCAACCTGGTACAAAGATAACAAGAAGCTGGGATCACTGCACAACAGATGAGATTCATGATGAAATAGATCCTCTTCCCAAACCACCTCTGAAGAAAAAAGAATCTGCAGGTAGACCGGTATGCTCCCATCCATACATAAAATACTCAAGCCTTCTTGTCAGGCACACAGCAAGAAGTTATCATGCAGTTTACGCTACTCAGAGGCAGAAGCTGAGATAACTTCATAGCAAGAATATCAGTGTCCAAGTCTGAAAGAAACTGTCCAGACTTTTACAGTAAATGACTTTTATTTAAAAAAAATGAAATAACCGTGAACGTATTAACAGGCCTGCAGGTGGCACTACAGTACAGCTGGATATAAGGTAGATATATTTCCCCATGTACCCAGACAATGAAATCCATTGCGCATCAATGCTGACATTAGTAAAATCTGAATACAGTTCTATCAAGCAGGAACATTTTACTTAAAATAGTTCTGGACAAAGTTGATACTCGAAGGATAACTCTTCCTTCACTTCTGAAAGGATAAATGTTTTCAGCTAGCACTGGTACTCGAAAAACCATTGCCTGTAGTTACCAGTGCAGGTAGAGATGTACAACATCTCTACGTGAGAATAGAGTTCCAACTCCTTTTTACTTCTCATTCTGTGGAAGCAGTGGGGAGACAGGAGAAGACAAGTGAGGAATATGGGTAAGGAAGGTGGGTTGTCAATTTCTATTCACTCTCCTTTGGCTGTTTTTGTGCTATTTTGGACTGCTTTCTAAAAATCACTTCTTGATTTTATTGAAAGGAAGACTAAACATAATACACCTTTCCTTGAAAATCCAAGAACAGTTGTGGTACTTCAAAAATACTAAAAATATCTACTTTCATGAAATATTAACTGTTTAACTACAAACCTAGTTTTTCACTAAATACACAATTCTCCTGTTTCTGGAGTCTCCTGGGGAAAAAAAGTGGGTTCTCCCTTTAGTTCTGCAACTCTACAGTGTATAGGGAAATGGCTGCAAAAAGGGGAGTGCAGAAAACAGCTCTTTTTCCTTGGCCTGTATCTCACGTGGGAAATTTACGTACATTTCTGCAGTTGGGCTACTGTTACTCACACTCTTTCAGCAGCTACCAGCTAAGTCGGCAGTAGAATGACCCACCTCCAGCAAATTTTGCTACCTTCAAGGAGACTAACTAGGCATGAGGAAAGACATCCACACTCTTTTCACCATTTCTGACCATAATATGTAGGAACACGAAGTAGTTTCCATGTTCTTCCAATTTGCAAAAGGCCACAAGAAAGGGACATGTCACCTTTCATTAGAATCTGGAATTCTGCATGTAGAAGGGCAACCTTCCATTAGACCTTCAGTGTTGAGGCAGCGTAGAAAACAGTAGCTGAAGAGTGTATAATATGAACCACACCAGCTCTCAGTGAGAAGCCTCTACTCCTGCAGAGGCAGACAGGTGCAGTCCACGTATATACTGTGAGCAAAAGGCTTACTTCACAGGGTTCTTGGACGTAGCAGTTCCTATGATCTAGCTAGTTTGGATTCATGAGCTTTCAGTGTGCCAACAGCATCTTTCACTGCATGGTAGATAATGTTCTTCACCTGTAAATAGGAGAAAAAAAATCAACTTCTCCACACTAACAAGCAGTCAATTCTGGTAGCTGAATTTGTGATTAGTTGGCAAGTATACATTAAGTATATTATTACAGCTTTAGGATATCAATAGCACAAAATTTAAACTGTTACCGCAGAAATATTTCAGAGACCTGCACTGATTTATTTACGGACCTTTTAGTCAGCAACTCATTTACCTATGTGAAGATAAATCATATAGTTAAACTGTCTAAATTAAGAAAATGCAACAAATCATCTGTTGTTTTCGCATGGAGCCCAGAGATTCTTTTAATTTGTGCGTTTTCCAGAAGGCCAAACAAAATCAGAGGTGAATCCATTGCCCACAGCATTCTGCTTCATGTTTAGTTATCTAAAGCTGTACCTTATTTCTGACTTTTCTGATTTACGCTTATTTGAATTTAGTTTCTAGCAACAGAGCAGAACAGTTTCATCACTAAATGTGCAGCTTAACCTTGCTTGCTTTACTATTTCCAAAGCACTATTATGTGCAAAACACCACCAGTGATGTACGTAGGATCTCACAGTATTCTGTATTGAATGTGTGACAGTTTAAGGACTTACTCTAGTTATTCTGCCTCATATCTATAAAATTTAAACACAAAAACAAGTGTATGAAAAATACATATAGTACTATATGAAAACTGAGAAATTAAGAATGACAAAGATGTAAAACCAACCCATTTACAGTTACGCTTCCACATCTGTATAACTACAGCTGAGCAGTGTTAAAAGTTGGATTCTTCAAAATTAGAGCTGAGTTCTCTGCTTTACTTTAAGAATCTATGCAAAAAACACACAGAAATCCACAGCAATTTTTCAGTGAATTCTTTGAGAGAATTAACATGCAGGTTCTGATGTTTGTAGGCGACATTCCTGGGAGAAAGGCTTGCTCAATACCGAGCATTCATTTTCCCAAGAATGGCCATTTGGCAGATCTTCACCTCTCTTCATTCTACATGCATGAGATTATAAACAAACATGCTGACAACATTTGCAAACTACGCAGATAATTAACTCCTTAGAAGCATACATCAGTGAAATCAAGAAAGGTCTCCTTATAGTCTCCTCCGTGTTTTCAAGGCAATATGTCCTACAGTGTACTTTTTCTGTTCAGTGAATATAATATTTTGCGCAGAATTACTGGTTTAAAGAATTGCACTCCTTTAGAGTTGAAGCACATTCTTCTTCCCTTTTCAGGACTGATTTAAAAAAGCAAGTCTTCACTTCCAGAGCAACTTTTAGACAATACAGAAACAAATACAAGTTTCCTCAGTGAAATAAACATCTCTTCAAAACACAGCATTGCTTTTTCCTCTTTTTTGATAAGGACTTGCTTCCTGCTATGTGTCACTGTTATTCAGGATTCATCCAGTTATAACCTAAAACTGACACATGCACTAGTTTAATAGTGGGAAAGTTCTCTGGGAAGTCAGAAGTTTATTATTAATTTTTGTTTCTATAATACTGTAGACATAGATACACTAACTACTTTTTCAAATATTTACCAAATAAGAACCTCCAAAGTTGTATAAAGTTGTTTCTGGTTTGTTCTTCCCCTCCTCAATCATTAGTCACAAGTTTCAAATACCAAACAAACTTGGTGAAACATGGGGTATACTTGCAACTATCATTCTAAAATGGTTACCTGCAGTTTATCCTCATGGTTTGTATGAGTATTAGACAGGTGTCTGAACTCCTGGGTCAGACGGAAGCAGTGCTTCACATGTTCTGGAGATACAAAATCTTCTGCCACTTTAATGCAACTGTACAAATTATGAACCTGGAGCAAACCATACAGTATTAGTAAAAAACCAAACCAGAACACCTGCAAACACAAGTTTTTTTGTTGCATTGACTCATCAGAAAAATTAACTGTAACCTATTTTCGTTTCATACAGAACTGTATGTCTAACATTGAAAACAAAGCAAATGACCTGACATCTCAGCTGTCCTCTTATCCTCCCTCATCTATTACTATATACTATTGTTTCCTAAGGTCATTCTCTTCTAATCTCCACAGTTTCTCAGAATTCTGTTCCCCAGGCTGAAGATTTACAACACAGACGCTTTCCAACCATTCATCTTAAGGATTTTTTCCGTAATTCTATCACACCACAGTAAATATAATTCAGGTATTTGTATTGTTTTTACTAACATAACGATGACAATTCAATTCATACAGTTCCTGTAAGAACTGCACACACACAGAAAGAAGTTTAAGTCAGCAATGATAACTACGCTATTTGAAAGTTCAAGTTCTACTCTGCTTCAAACTCAATTATATCCGTCCACATGTCCTACAGTTGACATACTTACCTGATGGGGAGCACCTGCGGGAATGAACACAGCATCTCCTAGGAACTGCACTATTGCCCAGCCTTGTACACCATACTCATCATACAGTCTCTTACGTAAGGTCTGGTCCAAATACCAACTTTGGTCATGAATAGGGTCATGATCTGGGGGATTTTCTTGGCCTTGTTCTTCTCCAACCTAGGGCCAAGATACAAACAGGAAAAAAACCATCATGACACAGCACTTTTATTCCACTGACTCAGAAAGAGTTCAGCACCAACACACATAATACAACCTTAAACTATTTCAAAGTGGGACTCTACTGGCAAGAAGTTCATTTAGGTCTTACTGAGACATGTGTTAGCATGGAAACCCTAGACTAAACTAAAATCCTGGGAAAAAATGAACTACTTATTTACACTCTCAAAGACAGCATTAGAATATTTTTGCACTTGATGCCAATAGCAATTGATAGCATTTAGCTGGTACAATTAAGCTCACCAAGAAATCCTGCAGGCTCAAGCTTTTTTTGTGAGAAACGTACCTTCCGGAGAAGTTCCCGTATCTTTTCAGCATCCTTGGCAGCATAGATATGCCACAATGCTCCAGGTTTTTCCCTTCCTTCATGGATTCGCTGCTTTGTTACATCATCAGCATCACCCTCATCAATTGTTTTCAAAACTTCTGCAAGGGGAATCCACACGAAAGCAGTATTACTATGAAGCTTCTGATTTCTGACACACAGAAGAGGGAGCAGCCTTTTGAAACACTAAATTGCAGCAGTTGCAGCATGGCGAATTGTAGAGTACCTGAAGTGCCTCAAGCTTTATCTTAACAAAATTCAAAAAAGCATGCACACTGACAGCTAATCAGATGCTTCAGCCAATTAAATCAAACCAAACTAGCTACAATTAATCAAATATAAGGAGAAAGAACAATTTTCCTCCTACTTTATACAAAGTAATTCCTAACAAAATTCTGCTCCTTTCACAGCTAGAACCAATTCAAGATTACTGCACTTTTAAATATGCACTACAGACACCCCAAACTGCCTTAAATATTTGGGTTATATCTCTCTGTTATGATAAGCTTAAGCAATAAGATGTAGTCTTTCTCAACAACATAATTGATTTTTAATGGACAGAAAGCAGCTTTCCTCAAACATTACCATCATCATGAGTCCCTTCCCCGATGGGAATTCCAACATACACCATGACATTCACAGCATCAGACACATCCAAATGCAGATTTGTTGTACCAACTCGTCTGTCTTCTGCAGTGATTAAGCCTATAAGAGTGTGTAAAATAAAATCAAATTCCATCTGATCTCCTAAAAATTTACCTTCTTGAAAAATCTGTAATGATCGCTACATTAATGCAGCAATGAAAGCAGGAACCAATGTCAAAGAATAGCTCTAGTAATTTTCCTATCATATGTGGAACTAGGAAAAAAAACTTACTGATAACCGGTATTTATTTTTTTATTTTTTAACAGGAAATAGTATAATTCACCCCATCGTAACAAAAACATTTCAAAAATAAAGCCTGAATTTATAAAGCAACTATTTTGTATAAATGATCCTTAGAGAAACAATCTATGGTAGGGAACTTTGCACTTCTAATACAAAGGCGGTACGCATCCTCAGGCATCCTTTAGCTTCGAGACTAATATAGACTTCAAGCAATTCATTAATCCATCATATTTAGCTGTAAAACCCACGTGATCCACTGAATCCACAGTAGTTACTGTCCAATTCATTGTTAACATCACAGATTACAACCAAGTAAAGAAAAACATACAGACTCTCAAGTGCTTATACTTTTATGCATTGATCTCACTCCTCAGAAATGGCTACGACTAATGATTAGAAAGATCTCAAATGCTTACTGCTTAATGCTTTCACTTTCTCATATAAGACATTGTCTTCCTCTGATCCTTAAGTGGCGCTTTCTACTTCTAACACTTCCTCTAACAAGTAACAAAGGAAAGAAATTTAAGAGATTACAAAAACTGAATCAAACCCTAACCCTAGACTACCACTACATTTCAGGATCACCATCACCATGATCTCTTTCCTATTTAAAATACAAGTTTTTTGGAACAGGAGTTCAACTCGCTGTAAAGTACTTATCAGAAACCACCACAGCTAATTTAGACAGTTTGTAACATTGTAAAATTGTGCGTTAAGAAAGCATAATTGAAATAAAAATATGGATAAACAACACAAAACCAGACAGTTAATTACTGACCTTAGGTAAGGGCCCCTTACAGCACCCAGACCCCCCAAAAAAAGTGTTTTGCTAGATACAGCAGATCATTCTTTCCTTAAATATTTTCTGGTCTAAATCACACAAAATATGCTGGGAAATATATCATCAATAGCAATTCTTACGTTAAACGTTTTAGGTATTTACTTATAAAATTGGTGAAAATTTGAGGATCTTATGCACACAAAACCTGTCTAACAGAACAGGAATTCTTCATGGTTAGCTTCTATAAATGTGTACTTTTATTTAGGTAACTGATTGACACTAAGTTTCACAGTTTTCTCATCTTGATGCTTGAAAATACTAAGCACATAAAAGCCTCTACCTCACAACTAAGAGCTTTTCTCCACTACACATTCAAAAAACAAAGTCAAATACTCACAATTGTGACATTTAATAAACTAGATAAGTGACTCTCATTCACCATGGACAAACGTGCTGTTCTTATTCCTAGTTTCACCCTTTATTTTATAAAACAGCTATGAACTAAAAAAGATAAGAAAATCACCTCTGAACATATACCTAGCTAACTTTTTTTTTTAATTTGAAAGTAAACAAAATGTCATACATTCTCTATTTGGACCAAGATATGTATCCGTAAGGAGGATAAACACTGGAGAGTTATACTCCATACTAAGAAATACCATCAACGTTCTCTCTGCAAACTCATCTTTTGGAAAAGAAAACCTGACATTTCAGATAAATTTAACAAAATGAATTGTTAGCAGCTAGCAGCACAAAGACAAGTTAACTGTCACTGATTACTTTGCTTCCTGCTGCGCTATTGTTTGTGTTTTGGTTTTTTTTTACTGTATAAGCTCTTCAACAGAGCCTACTCTATTTAGCTTACATGTCAAATAATATGTAAACCAAAACATTGGACGCTTTTTAATACTAAATTGCCCATGTTCGTTATACTTGATTTGCTCTCTTCTAAATCCCCTACTTGTAACTACAGTGATATCAAGCTGATGTACAAAAAAATTATAGTAATTTCACCTCAAATGCTTTTTCAGAAATTCAACAAATTGCTTACAGTTTAAGGCTTATGCATGTCTGATTACTGAGTTACGAATTTTTATTTTTAGCCACACTCACTTCCAGTCAGCTCTAAGACAGCCAGGCCACAAGCCAAAGCTGAATCAATGTAGCCACTGGCTTATTTTCTTTTTAACTCTGTCAACTGGTCTCAAAAATGTATGAGCTTTTCATTGACCCATGCTTCAGTATTACACTTATTGTAGGTATTGAATAATTACTGAATATAAATATTGAAAAGTACAATGCAGAAGAGGGCACATATGAGATAGAGAACTAGCATAGGTATAGACTGCAGGACCAATTCAAAAACACAAGCATGATCTAGGGTAGGTTCTCAGAGTTTTGATAACGCCTCTTCCTTCCATGAGGATAATAAAGAGTCATTAAAATCTGCAGAACTATTCTCACATACCATAAGCATTGTACATTTTGGGACCTAAGTCAGGACGGACAAAGTAGCTTGGCAGTCTAGAAGCCAAATTCAATCTGCCATCTCTCTTTGTATATTCAGGAAGAGGAAGATTTTCCATCAAGTCCTCAAACCTAGAGAGCAAAAAGAAAACAAAAGCATATTTTCCTCAGCTCTATAACCAACGTTTCTGTAGTGTCTACAGCACTCTTGTACGCACTGATGTTAAGATTTACTTACCTCGTAGGCATCATATCTCTGAAGTCCTCCCCTGGAGGCCAATCCTTTAACTTTAGTACCATTGGCTGACCATCCTCTGACCTGAGCCGCTCTGAAGAAAAATTAAGATTTACTCATGTTATATCTTTTCACCACAACCCATTACCTTCTTTAAGCTATACATGTTTTGTATCAAGAACTCCTACACTGCACAGCAAAACCAGTCCTGATTTTATGGGGGATTCTCAAATAGTATTGCAATATGATCAAATAACAGTTTAGCAATTAGACAACTTATATCATTGTCTATTGCAAAGTCTCACAGACCTTGCACAACCGATAAGTTTTTATTCAACTCTGAAAACAAGCATTTCCAAATTATTGTGCCTTACTGCTTTCAACAAAGTCTAAAGGACTTTTATCCCTCATTTCAAGAGGAGAGGGGTTTCTATAAAATTAAAATTACTGGCTAATTATCTGAATAAGTCCTAACTTAGGTATAAAGTGCAGACCACGATATACCATACTCCAAAAGCTAAATGGCAGACAGTTACTACAGAGGTCAGCCTTCAGCTTCAACACCAACTGCTGTTCTGGCTCAGATACTGGAATGGCTATGAAAATACCTGGAAGAGTGTACACACAGCAATTCAGAAGACTAAGCATAACAAGTAGAGAGAAACAGAGTTCACTCTTCTAACAGATTTGACAACTCCATAAGAAAGAAACCATTAAATGGAAAACAGGATAGACCGCAGCTTGCCACCTCCATATATCTTCTCTTTCCCAGAAAATAATATTCTTCACCACTTTCTACCACAGCATTGACTGTCAGACAAAAAGCAGCTAGCTTCATCCAGACTGTGGAACCTAGCAGAGCTGCTGACAGCACCAATGGAGAAAATACGTAAAAGAAACTAGGACTTCGAAACCTGTAAATCACTTATGCATTATAAATCAACAGGCCACAGAAGACAGCTCTACTTTGCAATGTAAAATAAAAAGATGTTATTTAAATTAAAAGGAACGAAGAACTGCAGGTACATAAAACAAAAGGATGACGTAAGCAGAGCACGCATGGATGAGCTAGGCATTTTAGAAATTCAAGTGAACTGAAAAGCTCATGGATTTAAATTTAAAGACGTTTTGGAACTTGTTGTATTTAGGATTGTGAACTCATCAAGGATCTTCATTCTAAAGCAGGAAAAGAAACTTATAGGAAGGCTACACAGAAATGACAGAATATAGAGCTACTTAGAGGAGAACATAAAAGACCTAATAAATTAAGGGACAAAAATCCAGAAAACTGGTTGGCAAAGACAGACAGGTCTAAGAATGATCCAAACACAATTAGAACTGCCAGAAGTCCACTTCAAACTCACCGATGTTACAAGTAAGCAGCGCAAGATTAAAACTTAAAGTATCACAGGGATAATTTAGGGACCATCTCAATACCACCTCCAAATCAAGAGGCTGCTCTGTAACTCTTCAATAAGCAAGTGACAATCTGCTTAAAAAAATCCACAAATTTGAGAAAACAAAAATTTATTCAAAGCAAAGAGACCAGAATTATTATATAATTCCCACATAATTTTCATATGATTTTGTGTGTGAAATCTTGGGACTAGTACCAAATAATACTTCAATTTACAGATTGCACATGTCTGAAAAACACTACAGAAAATGTATTTTAAATACATTTGCAAAACTGATGAGGTTTTCCATTCCAGAATCTGAATGTTTCTCAAGGAGAGGTAAGGGCATTGCCTAAAAGGAATGCAATAGTCGATTTTGCTGAAAGGGGCATACTTGCAGACAAATCACAAATAACATTTCAAGGATAACTTGACTCACAAATTCATTATTTTTATGAACAGCCCTTGCAAAAAAAGTGTTTCAAGTCCGCCAATTACAGTTAATACAGAAAAAGACCACACCATTATATCCTTCTAGACTGTTTATTTCTGAGTAAAAAAAAGAAACAGTATGAAAATTAACAGCACAAAATACAATACTGTGTTTGTATCATTCCAAGTACACAAGTCAAAAGCTGGGTTTTCTTTGACTAGATGATTACTGGGGGAATGTTGTTGGTTTAAAAATCTAGCATCTTATTTGATGTTGAACATTCATTTCATTAAGTTGTCCAGTAGTTCACCATTTTTCTTATGTGACCATTGCAATAAATACAGAATCCATTCTGTAGACAATACTTCCCCCCAAAAATGGGCAGCCTTGCAATGAACTGTCACAATCCTAACATTTAAAAATGTAAGAGCATTCTGCTGGACGCGTGTACAACCTAGAACAGTGCTTCCTGCTTTTCAGAAGCTCTTTAATTTGACCAGTACAAGACAGATCAGTTTTATCCCCAATAATTTTAGCTGGTTAACTTGCACATCCACACTTGACAGAAGGGTTTCTCAAAGCACAACTCAAGCATCAGCAATGAGTTATCACATAAGGTATGCATACAGCATTGCTATTCATTGTTCATATAAAAATATCTTTGTACTTGCAAAAGATCTGCTATAGAATTACTTTGTAACTTCCAATTTATTTGCGGCAGGTTCCCTTCAGTTTTACATTAAATGCTGATGCTGGAAGGAGAGGAAGGGTAGCCAAATTATTTAGCACCTTAATAACAACAATGGATAATTAATTTCACTCAGGAAAGTTAAAAAAAAAGTTTCCCCTTAAATGAATCAGCTTTTGACACATCAAAATAACGTGCCTAGTTTTTCTTCAGTAGTCCAGCTTTCATCTTCACCAATAGAATACTTTCTACGGTGCGCAACAATTAAGGAGAAATGGCTTCTTTGGATGATGCTGATAACTGCCAGGACTGTTTTGTTGTCTTTTTTTTTTTTGAGAAAAATATCAAAAAAGGAAAAGCTGAAGGTAGGAATATATACTGCTCAATTAAACTAGAACTAATCAGCTGTAAGTATTACTTACTAGATATTATTTCAAAGCCATCCCAGAAGTCACGCACTTTCACGTCTGAAATTATGGCACAGTTCCTGCAGTTCACCAAATCTACATCTTGATCTCCAAATTCCAGGCTGAAAGCTTCTGGTTTCCAAAGCTCTGACTTCAACTTCTTATGGACACCAGATACCAGCACGGGCTGAGAATACAAAGATGCATGCTTACTCCATCATAACCAATTTTTTTTTTTTTTTTTTTAAACACACGTAGCCAAAATTTAAGAGGTAAGACTCCTGGCTATCTTTAATCAAGAGACATGATAAATCTATTTTCATTCATTTCTGTTTTCTACGCACCAAATGTATAGCCAGAATCAAAGAAAAATTAAGGCCATGCACAGTTGCTTTATAAGTGATATTGCATTAGGCAAGTGTATTGGGTTTATGTGTCAAGGTTTTGGTAGCCAGGAGACTATAAAGGCCCATCTCTGTGAGATAAGTTCCAGTCAGCTTCAAGACAGGCCCACCATGGAATCATTACTGATGCTGGTACCACTTCTGTGATAATACATTTAAGAAAGCATACGTGTCAATGCAGCAGCTCTAAGAGAGGAGTGAGGGAAAGACTTTGAAGGAAACAACCCTGCAGACACCAACGTCAGCGAAGAAGGATGAGATCCTTCAGCTGCTGGATCAGAGATTCCTCTGCAGCACATGGAAAGGACCATTTGTGATTACAGACTGCCCCCCCACAGGCCATGGACAGCCAACACAAGAGTGGATCTCCATGCTGTAGCTTGTGGAAAAGCCCATGATGGAGACAGGTAGATCTGACCTAAAGGAAGCTGCAGTTCATGGAGAGCCCAGGCAGTGGAATACTCCTAGTAGGGAACGCAGCCCCACAGAGAGATCACAAGAGCAGACTTTCTGGCAGGACTTGTATATGTGGGGGACGCACACTGGAGCAGCCTATTCCTTAAAGATTGCACCCCATGGAAAGGACCATGGTAGGAAAATTTATTCTGTGGGAGGGACCACATACTGGAGCATAGGAAAAGTGTGAGGAGAAAGGAACAGTGCAGAATTGTTATGAACTAATTGCAACCCCCATTTCCTATAACTCTGCATCACTCAGTGGGGAAAAGGCGAGGAGGAGTGGAAAAAGGTAGAAAAGAAGGAAACAAAGGAGTGAAAGTGAGACTGGGAAGCAGGAAGGGCAAGTGCAGTTAATGCATTTCATTTGTTTTTTGTTTCTCATCATTCTACTCTAATTGTAAATAAATTAATTTTGCACAGGTTACGCTCATTTTTGCCAGTGATCGATAAGCGATCTTCATATCTTTATCTTGACTCACAAGCTCCTCCATCTTCCTTACTCCTCCTGCCCCACTGTAGGAGGAGGAGGGAGAGCAGTAAGGTAGGAGTCTGGCAATCCGAGTTCAATCTCTGTAGAACTGTGTGGCCCAGTACCCTCCTTTTTTAAGCCAAAATGTAACTACTACTAGAAACTGCATTTGTATGAAAACATACACAACATTTTCATTTTACAGTATGTTTTTGTTTTTAACTATTTCCCTCATTTTTGTATACAATTATGGTTCATCATCAACTCTTTAATACAAAATCAAGGAATGGAAAAGTGGCTATTTACATTAAAGAGGTACACCAGGCAATTCTTCCCAGCACTGGCCAGACTTGTAAGTTTACAATGACCGGAGTCTCTTACTACCTTCAACTCTCTTGAGATCACAGAAGTTAAAGACTTTGAGAAGGGAGAACAAAAAAACCCCAAAAACTTAAGGTTTAGTCACTGCTGCCTATGTTCACATGTCTACGTAAATTTGAATTAGCTTCAAGCCATACCTTATATATTAGCAATGATTTAAAGGTGGATTTGTTTTATTTGCATGAATAAAGAACTCCGTACAATTCTGAGGAGAACATCCTAATATTGTCATAGTTCTAGGCAAAGATAACTGGAAGAGATAAAGAGAAGTGATTTTGAAAATATACTGTTTAAAAAACACTTCAGCAACTACCTCTGCTTCACCTGAATTTAGCTGCAAAGGCCTACAAGATCCATCCTATTCACATTAGCTCACACTGCTTGCTTGCCAACCCAGTCAGCTAATTCCTTTGTGGATTGCTTGTCATCCTCTCCCTTCACTGCTGTTCCTAGTTTGTAGCTCTCCTAATCAGGGTGGCCAGCCTGCTGGCAAGGGTGTTTTAATCCCACCTAGATAGATCTTATCTCCTCCAAGCCATCACTGATGCTCAAAAATGTCCCCACAACAACAAAACCCCAAAATTCTGTTGCTAAAACCTGATGCATGAACAACAGTTAACACAGAGGATCAGTCCATCTCTCTTTGAGGCCTCCAGCCTCACTGACAAGACTGAGAAAACCAACTGTCCTCCTGTGCCTTTGACCACTACTTCCGGAGCCATATAATCACTCTTAATACTGCCTGTCCAAGTCTCCACTCCAGCAGAATTGTATGCACCAATATGGGAGAGCAGTAGCATGGATGAGGAAAAAATACATTAAAAAAGTCACAGTACCTTTAACAGAACGGGTAGACACTCCTGCCAGATGGACTGCAAGCTGACAGATAAGCTATTGTTCTTCAGACCGGGTAAGTAAAATCATGATTTTGTTCCCTGTTGTATTCACTTGACCACTTGAATGGTAATATCAAAAAATGTACTACAAACCTAGCATAACCCTTTCAGCTACTAAGCAGAGAATTTCCCATGAAAGAGAATGTTCTCCCTCTAGTGAATAAGGCAGCTAAAACTGCAAGATAAAAACAAACAAAAAACCCAGTAGACTTGTTTGCCAGACATCTGCCCCCAGAAAGCAGGAAGAAAACAAATGAAAACTTCTAACACCACTCCAAATTTTAAGTACCTCAAAAAAAAAAAAAAGTCTAGCATGAAACGTCAAACAGAAACAGGTTTCTCTTAGGTAAAAGTCATGTAATGGTATCCCTAAACAAGCAATAACTACATACAGGATAGCAAAATGCTCTTGAAGAACAGCTCCAGAAGGAAATAATCCACCGGTCTCTCAGCAAAATCTGGGTTAAGATAAAATTTAACTTAATTATCATCATTCCTAAGACAAAAATAGCTGAAAAATGCAGTGTCTTGAATGACACTGAAAGAGTGCTATTTGTTATCCACATGTGAAAGGAAAATAATTTCCTCTGATACCAGTTTGAAATGCTACGGTGACCAAGATTGTCATATGCCTCATATCTAGGGTGCATGTATGGGGCCCAGGGGTAGTCAAGAATTTTACTTATAAACCTTCTTCAACCCAAAGAAGGAGGAAGGTGAAGGTGATTTTTCAAGGGGTAAAAATCAAGTTGACTTCAAAGGTGCAGCTGGACTGTACATGGGAATTCAGTCGATAGAGAACTGTGATACAGTAGAGTATGCTGAGGGAACCTCTGCTTGAACAAATTCTATTCACAATGGCCTTGCCAAGACAGCAGCAGCACCTAGGTCACTGGCTATCTCCAGTGCTAGAATGAAAGAGTTCCAGTAAGCTTGCTGTCTGCATCTCAGCAGTAAACACAAATGAGTGCAACGTCACTGGAGAACCCTTGAATAAGCAAGGAATTCAACTTGTTTGTTGCTATGCCTTCTAAGTGATACAATCATGCAAAAACATTCCTACCATCCCCTGGGAAAAGCTTGAAAATAGAAGTTCACTGAGAGTACATATCATATGGTCAGAGCCTCAGAATCAATACTGACTTGGAAGGTGAATCACACTGCAAGCTACGCATCTGACAAAATTCAGTAATCCCATCTCTAGATTCTGTAAGTCTCAAGATTCATTAAGTATCTCGTGTTCACATGCTGCATCTTGCACCTAGTGATTAGCTACTCTCATCTGCAGAGGTATTGATGAGCAACTCTTTTGTCATATTATTCTGAGCGAGAATATTACTTGCTGACAAAGACCACTGGAAAAATTATGAGCATTCTGAGCAGAAATTTAAGAACTTTTAGCCAAGACAGATGGCTGACACCACACCAGTGTCAAAGATTGAACTGAAATCCTTCAAAAATCAGAAGAGATCAGGTTCAAAAAAAGATGAGAACCCTGTACACTCCAAAAAGAACAAGGAGGGTAAGAAAACTGCTACAGTTGAAGGGAAAGCTGTCAATTCCAGCTGTAGGCTATGTTTCTAGACAGACAAGGGAAGCACAGGGACCCTCAGCATTTATTAGAGCTGCCTAGGAACAACAGATCTGTAATTGGCAGTGCTCCATCTCTGCAGATTTCATGGGTATCGACAATTATGCTTGTATCCAAGGGATGCAAAGAATGTCAAGTTCCATAGGACATGCTGAAGTTAACTGAAAAACACTTTTCCACTGACAGGAGCAGATCCTGAGCTACAAAGTAGCCCACTGTGCTCCCTCATTACAGCTCAGTAGTGTGCGTGGCTTGTGAACAATCCAAAATAAGGCACAATAGTGCCAAGAATGTTAGCATAATAACAATAGTACAGCTGACAACAAGGACTTCTCCAGAATAGAAGATATGTCCCTTATCTGCCTAGCACCGATGGTCTTAATTCTGAGTAGTCAGTGAAGATAACAGTAGCAGGATAGCTGCAGAACCCAAATGCTAAGAACATATGTTGAACACCAGACATCAGATTCTGTCATGTTTATTGGTACACTTCCTCTGCAACAACAGATGCTTATCCATTTCTTAAGCTTTAGCTTGTCAGATTAGGCCATCCTTAATGGCTCCAGAAAAGTCTGCTGTAGCACTACAGACTGAGATCTGAAGAGATGGCTATACTGGAAGCCTGTTCTCTTGACTGCAGATCTAACTTGTTGATGATCACTAAGACAATCAATAGAGAGCTCAACATGCGACATGAAGAATCCAAAACAACACGTGGGTTTATATAAGTTGCAGGTTCAGGATAAGATACTGCCAACACCACACTCCAAAATTTTAGCACAAGTTATTGTATGGAACCCTGGTACTCTTGTACATGCTGCAGCTGGAAGGAATGAACCTTTCCCTAAGGCTAAAAAGCATCAAGTATGAGGTAGATGCTAGGATGCAAGCAGGAATCATAATGGATTCGCTAAAGGAATGTGGCATGGCAGGTATAGCACAAATCACAGCGCAAGCATACACACCTGAGTTAGTACAGCACAGAGTGGACAAGACCACTGCATCCCTTGTTTACATTACTACAATTGAAATCTTTGCTCATCATTTGCACCCACCTGGCCTTGTTTCCAGCACTCCCTGAAGATCTTCCAGTTGTTTTTGTTGCTAGGATCATGAAGGCAAAGGAGTCTACCATCACACAGCCAAGAGTGGGAAGTGTGTGGATCTAGCACATTCAAACCCATTACCATTTCCTTCACATCTCTTTGCGTGTCAGCTAAATTACTAGCGCGTTTTGCAGCATCAGATGTCTTCTTATTTTCCACTACAGAAGCAATGATATGGTCTAAGAAGTTAGGCAGGCTGGCTTTACCTTTGGCCCCCTAGAAGATGTACAACCAGAGGTGAGTTTAGTCTTGCAGCAGCATACACATTAACACATAGCTGCTCTCACTCAGCTTTTAGTCATGAACATTTTGCTACCAGAAAAACACGCAGAAGTAATCAAATCAGCACAGAGACAGGTGTATATTCAGTAAGAACAAAACCAGGTATCTTGTTTTATTACGGTAAAATACAAGCTGCACTAGGCTACCTAGAAAAATAATACAGGAAAAAGTCACAGAAGAAAACTTCAGCAGATCTAGCCTCTGCTGCTTTAACAGTATGGATAGATCATACTGTTCATGCAAGATTTTGCCTTTCTGGGGGTACAGTTTTACAGTTTTTCAAAAATGCAGAATTTAAGTGAGCTTTTATAGGGAAGAGGATCATCAATTGATGAATTTAAAGGCTATACTTAACTTACTTTCTTGGTCTCTCAAAAGGAACACCTTCTCCACAGCAATAGCAAATCACATCACAAACTAACAATTAGCATCAAAATGATCTACAACTTTCAAGGATGGCAGACTCGGCTAAATACCGTATTTGTTTCAATATTTGAGAATAAGATACTACAAAAAAATTTCAACAAAAACTGTTAGATCACGAAATTCTTTCCTAGAGCAGACACTGTTGAAGGAATTACAAAACTACTTACCGTGGAAGCTGCAGAAAAAACTGGAGGAAAGGGGATTCCTGTGTCTAATGGAACCTGAGGAAGCTTTCCTGGCCCTGTGTGTAGGAGATCTCTGAGGCTGGAGCCTTCAGCTTTGTTGCTAGATGTCACTGGGCCCAACAACAGGCTATTAAACAGCTTTGGGGTTAGTGGGGAAACCTTTGTACTGGAGTTGAAGGAATCCAATCCAAAGGGTGAATGGGATTCTTTATTAAGCACTGACCTCAGCGACCCTGATTCTGTAAGAAAAATAATGACATTGAGAAAAAAAATGGAAGGCAAAATTCAAATGATCGTGAAGTTCTGAGATAAGTTGCTCTTGCATCAAATATGATACTGACAGAATCACATGGTAAATCATTATTCCAGTGAATATCACCTCAAAGAGAATCACGAAAAAAATCTTATTTCAGATTTTACTCTTAGCATGCTGTTTTGAGCAACACAGATTATCTGATCTGAAAGTAATGTTCAATACGCCACAAATTTATAATCTGCTTAATTATAAAAAACTGCCTTGACCTTCTGAATTAATTTTTCAAAATATTCTACTTGAAATGTTAACTGCTAAGCTGTGCAAAACTAGTTAGAAATTCGAGAACATTCAACACTAAAATATGAAGTAGTTTTTGCTAGACATTTGGACAAGAATAAATTCTGTTGTGCTATGACAACTGGAAGGTGTATATTGTAAAAACTACTTTCAGACTGGTAATTATAGTTAATCCACTGAATACTAAAAGAAGTTGTAAGCTTTTATTTGACTCTTCAGATAGGCTCTAATTGCTCAATACCTAGGAAATGCACTCTTCATACTGTGTACTGAGCAGATTTGTTTACTTCAGTAATTAATAAATTGACAAATCTACGTCTGAAATGAATCATTATCATTTTACATCAAGATACTGGCTGGTTATTACTTAGAAAATAAATATACTGGCAATTAGATAAACTGGGGAGTCACAAGACAGTATTTTTCTCTTCAGCTGTATCGTTATCATCCTAGTTTTCCATATTCCTAAGCCTGTAAGAAAAACAACTTCAGGTTTTTTGAAGAAAAACTTTTTCATCTTTCAACATGAATTGAAGAAAAAGTTTATATTAAGACTAAGCACTCTCGTGAAGAATAGTAACCAAGCAGCACATTAGCATTTATTTTTTACTTCCACCCCCAGAAGGCGTGTGTTCTGCTCACCTTTTGTTTCTTCTTTTGCTTTTTGTGTTGCTAAGTCTGCAAGCCAGTGTAAGGCTGATGATGGGGCTGTTTCTGAGCAAAGTGGTCTGTTGGTCTTTGTTTCAGCAGTGTTACTGATTGATAACGTCTCCGTTTTTGCAGGTTCTTCTATCCTACTATCATTTGCTTCAGATTTTGGAACACTGTCCATTTCTAACTGCCCCACTCCTGCTGTTCCTGCTCCAGTGGAAAAGGTACTCTCATTTCCAGAGACCGATGCACTGGGATTAACAGTTGGAAGCTAAAACAAAAACATAAACATCTGCTAAAAGCTGAATAAAGGGAAGAACTCACCTTGAAAACATTTATTCAAAACACTGGGTTTTGGTTGGTCGGTTGTGTCAAGTAAACAGCAGCGTTCCTTCGTGCTTATGTAGTAGCAGAGTACAAAAGTTCGTCCTCTGTGTATATTACACCTTGTGCTATAGCCTCAATTTTTATCATTTACTGCTCAGCAAGTTTTTGTTTTTGTTTTTAAATACAAGATCAGTCTTTTTTTTTTCCAGGAAGCTGTAGGCTTGTGGGGTTTTTTTTGTTTGTTTTGTTTTGTTGTGTGAGAGTAGTAACATAACTCCCCTAGTTTCAGCATAATTTTCAGGAACTGTAACAAAATAAATGCACATGCTGCAAGCTACTTGCACTGGTTTGTTCTGATTCATGAATGGCTTTTTACTCAGACTTTACTTAAGAGTACTAGCCCAGATTTCCACTTGGTAAATAACAGTTGCAGCGCACAGTTCTGAAAAGTTCCCTGGAAGATTTTTTGCTAACCCAAAACACTTGTAACACATACTGAGAAAAGAAAGTCCGTATTTCACAACAGATAAGCCTAAGTGATTAAACAGTAGATCTTAAAAATGTTAGGCCAAACACAAAGTGATTTCAGTCCAAAACAACGTACCTGTGATATTCCATTAGTGACAGCTGGTCTCAATACCGATTTATTCTGTCGATTAATACATGGACAGTTGGCTTTTATACCCCATTTGCCTCGTGCTGCATGAACCATGTCTCCAATATTGTAAAGGGCTGGAATAATATTTAAATCTTTAAAATCACACAAAAATTTAAAAACATGGCTTTGACTAAAGTTCAATGCCTTCTATTTCTTTTTGAATTATTATTGATAAGTAACTTTAAAACCATGTGTTATAACATGACATTCATCTCTGAACAGCGCAGAAAATTGTGCTAATTCTAGCTTCTAGGACCAAATATGTGAAGAGTCAACACTGACTGTTTACTTTCCCATGCCATCCCTCAAAAGAAAAAGATCTTTCTTGAAAAATAATCAAGAATAATCTTGAAAAATATCAGTCAATTATTGATGAAACTGAAAATAGCTGAGCATGAACAGTCAAAATCATTACCAGAAATTATCACTTGGAATTCACAACATCATCTCATTTGTGCTACCATTCCTTCAGCACTTCTGCCTATAGAAAATGGAAGCCTCCTCTGCATCTAAGCTAGACAAGGCAACAGCTAGAAAACAGATTATTTTTTTTTCCCCACTTGTTTGCTGAGAATTGGGACAAAATTGCTCCTTTCAGCCTTCAAGCATTACCTGTACCAGGAATGATCTGTGTTGGCATAAGGTTTTCTGGTTCATGAGACTGACCCTTTGCACATTTCAGCCACGAGAAGACTTCCTCATCACCAATCTCCTCTGTCTCTGGAATAAAGACCAAAAGAACCACCCAAATTTATTTAAATACATTTTAAGAGGTTAGAACTGGAACTACAGTAACTTCTGTTCCCCAGGTTATAAAACTACCAAATTCAATTTATCTCTACTAGTATCTTAGTTCCCTTCTTGCCTCAACTTCTGAAGATCATATTACTGTTCTCATAGGGTAATTCTAACTTTTCTGGTAACCATCTAACAAGTTTTTTCCACAAGGAATACCTGCAGATCAGTTTGAAAAAACAACAAAACTAATGTTTTCTGTGCTTACATCCACTTAATAAAGCTAAAAAGTTACAAATGAATAGATTGAAAAGTAGCCGACAAATTTTTATTTCACAGAATTGCTCATGTTGGAAAAGGCCTTAAAGATCGTCAAGTCCTACCACAACCTAACCATACTACCCTAACTCTAACAACCCACCACTAAATCATGTCCCCGAGCACCACTTCCGAACGGTTTTTAAATGCATTCAGGGATGGTGACCCATCCACCTTCCTGGGGAGCCTATTCCAGTGCTTAACAACACTTTCTGTAAATAAGTTTCTCCCAGTATCAAACCTAAACTTACCCTGGCACACCTTGAGGCCATTCCCCCTCGTCCTGCCACCTGTCACCAGCGAGAAGAGACCAGCCCCACTGTCACTGTAAGCACCTTTCAGGTATTGGAAGAGAGCAATAAGGTCTCCTCTCAGCCTCCTCTTCCCCAGACTAAACAGCCCCAGTTCCTTCAGTAGCTCCTAGTAGGGCATATTCTCCAAAACTAGATTGAGCCCATAAATGCAGAAAGAATTCTTTCAGCTATTTCCATTACGCCCTAGTTAAGAACATCTTGAAGAACACTATGCTCTTTTTTGGTGTATTCTGACAGTAATTTCATAGGTTGCAGTATGCAAAAATAAGGAAAGTTTAATCTATTTTAATAACATGTTACTTTTATAATTAATTCAGTTCTCTCTGGCAACTTATTACAATAAGTAAACAGTGGGACTCATGTTTACTAACATCCTATTTCATATATCTGCTTCATAGAGCAACATAACTGTCATTAGTAGACCTACATTTATTAAGATGGTAGAGTGTATGCTGACAGTGGACCAAAGCTGTCCCAATGCAAATGCATACAAAAGCACCAGAAAATCACTTTCGTAAACACAGTGTACCTTTGTTTTTTAGCAACATTCGTTTTCCTGCATCACAAACCTGAGCACATCAAGGAATAAAAAAAAAATTCCAACAACTCTTTTGCACAGAAAGCAGTTCTCTGCAGCGTCTGCTTACTAGTCCATCTTGTGATGGCTCAGAATAGGCATAGTATTATTTAACTCTTATATCTTCTCTAAGGAAAACACAGAGCTACACAGCAGTCTGTTCTAGTACGTACCCTATGCCTACTGATTGATGTTAAAATTTTAATATAAAAACTCTAATCAAATAGATAGAATACAGGTATTTAAGGAAACATAGAATGGAACAGCATCATGTAAGACTGCACTGCTAAAAATTCCAAACCTATAGATTCCCATGCCAGTACTTACCACTCTTCTGCAAAACCTTCAGCAACTTCCTAGAAACCATCACCACTGAAAGCCAGCTATTTCAGAGATTACAGTAGGGAAAAAAAAAATTCTAGTTCTCACCACTACGTGGACGATTCTTCCTCAGCCGGTAACAGTCCAGACAGACCCCAAATCCACACTTGCGACAAACCCAATGAATATTGAATAGAGTTGTCTCACATACATCACACATTTCCCGCACACCGCGTACTGCTCGCTTCCACGCCACTTTCTCTATAAACAGAAGGAACATTAGGAATTATTGCTTTGACATTCTATATTTCTCCCATCTAATGAGAATGTCACAACATTGATAAACAATTCACAGACACATGATTTGAGGGCAGAACATAAAAACACATACTTTTTTATATCCAGAGACATGTTTTGAGTCGGTAGTCTCTTGACACTACTAACATCACCACTTTTAAGTTGTAAGGCCAAATCCCAAAACACGCGCTACAGGAAAATTAAGCATTTCACAGAGTTCTGTAGAAACGGAAATTCAAGTAGCACTTAAGGAAGTTACAGGAAAACAGAAAACCAAAACACTTCTGCTAGTTTTAAGAACCAATAACGTGAGCCTGTAAAGTCTAAGTATTTAATTTTATTGATTGGATGAATATCAGTTGTTTGAACTTTGAATGCGTTTAGCGAAGAATGGCTCCTGCTGCACATTTAAAAAATGAGAGTGAAAAAATCAGAGCTATCCATATGATAGGCTGAATTGGATACATTAAAGAAATTTATTTCAAATTCACTTTCCCTCATAGAGGCAACAGCTGTCAACTAGTTGCTCAGCTGAGTCACTGCAAGCTGAACATACAAGCTGATCCTTACATGGAAAATCCTGTGCTTTATGATGTCCCTGAACATCAGAGGGACAGGAGTATGTTAAAAAAAGTTGATCATTAAAAGGAAGTTGGTCTCAAAGTGATAAAGCGTTTATTTTCATTTTCTTAAAAAAAAAACAGGTCAGATTTGTAACTTACTTTTCAAAAAGCAAATGCAATGATGTCTGGGAAAGTTACTATTAGCTTCCTTGGTAGAAATACTACACTGACCCAAAAGACAAACCTCCAACAATTACACACGCCTTTAAAAAAGTGAGTATGGCTGCCTTTTTTGGGAAGAGAATATCTTAAACAAGAAATAGCATTACTCTATTTCACTGCATCATATACACATTACACAGAGAAGACAGGAAAATAACACGCCAAAAGCCCTGCTTACGATGTGGCTCCACCATCATCATTGCTTCCTTTTCTGACATAACGAGCTGGCAAAACTGGTCTCCAACATTGGCAAGGATGTATTTTGAAGTCTCCAGGTCAATACCCTCTGCAGGGGAGGAGGAAGGAATCCACAGACTCATGGCATCAGGGTCACTCTGTTGTGGGTTCAAGAAACCCTCTACTCTTAAAATACCTTTCCGGGTAAATATAAGCCTGCAGAAAACAGGATGAAGTAACTGGGAATCTGCTCAACAACCTTTAATTTAATTAATGCCATCTACATCAAAATATAAACAATAAGGAAAAAAAGGCTTGAGCTACAGCATTATTGCAGTGAATCTATTATGCAAATCCAAATAAAGCAGGGAATAAGACACACAAAGGCAAGGGCAGCAAAACCCAACAGAATGAATTTCTAGATCTCAATACATGTTGGTGGGAAATTCACACACAAGAGATTGTTACAGCATGCCACAGTTCTATGCTATTAATAGAACAAGATGACAAAACCCAGATTACTTGGGCTGCTGAAGATACTGCTGTAAAATCATGTATGGTTCACACTATATTTAAACTCAGTAGACAGTTATTTCTCAGCTTTTGGGAAACCAATATTTTAGTTCTGGCTAGTGTTGCCAGCACTTAAAAGCTGTTTAAACCATTCACATCACAAGACAGACAAGAATATTTATTGTACCTACTCTTCTTAATGCCATTCTTCATGCAGATGAGAGAACTATTTTTTATCTATAACAGTTGACACCAATAGTTCTCATGTTGCAAAACTTTTGACAAATTAGGAAAGCCCGAATAACTTCAGCCATTATTAAAAGTAACTTCCTTCTTCAGCAGAGATAATCTACACTTTAACCTCAATGCAAATTAATTTTTAACAAGTTCAGAATGTAGATATAATCTTTATGGGATAGTCAACACATACTAAAATTTCACTTCATTTCAATGCCTAAAAACAAGCAAAAGTCCTTTTCAAATGATGCCTCGCACTCACTAGAATGGGTAGATGAAGTGGAAGAGAAACTGACTGGTCAAAGATCTGACAGGAAACTGGACATGAGCCAGCAGTGCACTTGCAGCCTAGAAGGCCAACTACATCCCAGGTCACATTTAAAGAGGAGCGGCCAGCAGGGAGAGGGAGGTGATGTGATTGCCCCTCTCCACTCCACTCTTGTGAGGCTCCATCTGGAGTACTGTGCCCCCAGAATGGGTCTAGAGGACGACATTAAGATGATCAGAGGGCTGGAGCACTTCTCCTATGAAGAAAGGTTGAGGGAATAGGTTTGTTTAGCTTGGGGAAGAGAAGGCTCCGGAGAGATCTCATTGTGGCCTTCCAGTACTTGAAGGGAGCATACAAACAGGAGGGGGAACAGCTGTTTATGAGGGTGGATAGCAATAGGACAAGGGGGAATGGTTTTAAATTGAAACAGGGGAGGTTTAGGTTAGATATCAGGAGAACATTTTTCACTCAGAGGGTGGTGAGGCACTGGAAAAGGTTGCCCAAGGAGATTGTGGATGCCCCATTCCTGGAGGCAATCAAGGCCAGCCTGGGTGTGGCTCTGGGCAGTCTGGTCTGGTGGCTGGTGACCCTGCACACAGCAGGGGGGTTGGAACAAGATGATCTTTGAGGTCCTTTTCAACCCAGACCATTTTATGATTCTGTGATGATTCTACAATAAGCATTACAGAGAGAGAACACAGGTGATGTCCTATTCCTCCTATAAATCAATTCTGTACTCAACTTAGAAAACCTAGTAAAACGTTAGCCTCATGATGACAATATTGTCACTTAAGTGAATTAAAATTGTATCTCTATTCTGAATTTGTCATGATAGAGCAAAAGAGCAGTTACTGCATACAAACTGCTATTCAATAAAGCAAATTCAATCTCCCAAGGCTAAGTATGGCAGCCCCCATGGTTCCATCCATACAGCTATACTTTCTAACAGCAACTCTTCTTTCACCTCTCCAACTGAGAGTGAGGGAATTCCAAGCAGCTGACACAAATAAACACAAAACAGATAAAATCTTCATTATCATACCCAAGGAAATTAAGTAAAGAATAATTACTTTGTGCTTGGACCTGATCCAAGCTCTACATTTAGACTACGTAGGAAGGAAGGAAGGATTTGAGCACCTCCGGAAATGGAAGAAGCGACATGCCACAGTTGAGTCATCTTGCTCTTGCTCCTTAAATTTGCGGTACCGCTCCAGACGGCATTCCCGGCACTTGTGCAGATGTGGGGCTACATTGATGCAAGAACCATCTTGGAGAAAAGGCTCACCTGACTGCTTCAGCTTCCTCACCTTACTCATATCTTTCAGCACAGACTGGCCAACTGGGAGAGACAGAGCAGAAGTAAAAAACACCCCAAGAATTATAACAATAAAAAAAAAAATCAGTTAACTGCAACAGCAAAAGGATACTGGCCCCAGTAAACATATCTGTATTTTTGTAACCATGCCAAATTAACAATACTGTCCATTTCATCACACAAAAACTTCTATTAGTCTTCCACATACCACCAGAACCAGAGTTATAATAAAGTAAGAAGTCTCTGGAAAACGAAGGGTTACCCAGTTAAACTGGGCTACAGAAACAAAGTACTTATTTATTAACAGACATCTCAGCTTTTGCTCTCAATCTCAACAATCAACTAATTTGAATAATACCTATAGCCCATTCTCAATGACAGCAGGCACTTTCAATTAGGATGCAAACTGTCAATAAAATTAACAAATTCACACCAAAAAGACAAATCTTATGTTTTCAAGTCCACAGGCTACCAGTTTTGTCCTGACATACATATTCTTGAATAATTCTTAAGGCAAACATGCTAATTCATATACAAGAAGCACTAAGCTTTAGCCTTGTAAATATCTTATGTTGGCTATTCACAATAAGCAAGCTTTATATTTAAGGCTGTTTCACAGAGTTCATTATACAGAAGAAATCTTAGCATTCCACCCCTTTATGTTTCCAAGACACCCTGCATTCACCTTTTAGGGGAGCCGTGCGAGGCCGGCCCTTTGGGGCTTGTTTCCCTTTTCCTTTCCCCAGCAGCAATTCAGCATTGCGCTCTGCATTGGGACCTAGTTTTGCCATCAAGTGGTCTGGGATGCCCTTCATACACGCCTTAGCTTGCAACTGCTCTTCAGAGTCACTTAAATCTGAGAGGTCACTATTGGTACTGGAGTCTGAATCCTGTTTAGATGTCAAGCTCCGCTCATCTAGTGAGAATCTTTTCACAGCTTCAAAGGGGGCTTTGTTGTCCTGCATAAACTCAGCCTGTGAAGAGAAAAAGCCAGGTGGATGCCTGCCAAACACATTAGAAAAAGTTTTCAGAAGAGGATTGTCCTGCTGGCCAGGCCCAACAGCTGGTTTTTCTTCTGTTGGGCTAGAGGAAAGCGTGGGCATCTCAATAGGCTGTGTCAGGTTGCTGGTTGGTGAGCTGGAACGGCCATTCCCTGCAGTGGAAGGACTCTGAACACCAACCGAAGCTGCTGAACCAGGAGTACTGGACATCATCTTTGAGGAATCAGTTGTTATGAACAAGGTTTTCTTCTTAGCTAGAGAGTCTGTAGCTGTGATCGATTCTGGCCAGCCAGAAGCAGTCTTATGACCCACAGATGTAGACAGAGTAGAAACCCCTGTCTGAGATGACGCAAAGCCACTGAAAGGACTAAGTTCCGTTTTCTCAGCAAATACCAGGAAAGGGTTTGAGGGTTCCTCTCTTGATAGTTTTGGGGGCTGTAAAAATAAGTTTTCATGACTATCTGGGGGGCGAGTATTCAACAAGCTTCGTGAAAAAGCTGGAGTAAGGGTGGGCATACATTCCACAGGCAGCTTCCGCTCCACAGAACTGCCAGACTGCGTGTCCGCTGAAAGAACTTTACCTTTGCAGACCCCAGCACCCACGCTTTCTGTGCACTGCTTGAATGAGTCCCGACTGGAGGCATCTTCAGATAAGCTTTCTGAAATGACCGTGAAGTAGTTACTGGAAGGTAGGTTTTGGGTCATGCACTGAAAAAACAGGTTCTTAGACAGATCAGAATCTTTCTGAGCCTCTTGTCCAGTACCACAACCAAAAACAAATCCAGAAGGCTTGCTTTCTGGAGTCACCACTCCATTTGACTGGCTTCTTCCACCTCCAAATGCTAAAGACTGGGAAGCACCTGGGAGAGAGATCCCAAATCCAGAGGAAGCTGAAAGTGAATTTCGAGAATTCTGAAACAAAATTAAAAAGCATTAGCCTGTTAAAGGATTCTTATTTGACTGAGCAAAACTTTAGCTCATTTAATTATACAACTAGCCACCCATGAAAAACTTGTAGCAGAAATGCTGCTAGATCTCTTTAATAATTCTGTTAGAGTAGTTTTTCCTACCTAAAAGGTATTGAAAATTTTGAGCTACTTTTATCAAATAATTATTTAATGGGCTCATTATTACTGAAGACACATGGAAAAATGAATACTTAATGACCTGACAGGTTTTAGAACAAAATTGCAACACAAGACAAATTGGGCTAATTCACTGAAAAATAAGCAATTTAAGATGCCATTCATTTTAGTTCCAATAGATAAACAAAGAACTTTAATTCATACTGCTTTTCAGTCATACACTCTCCTGTAGCAAACTCATCCTTTCCATCTTTCGCCATTTCAGTATTTGCCCTCCCCTAAACTCATCCTGATGAGTCTCTCCTGCTTAACCAGCATCCTTAAAACAATTAACTTAGTTTGTGAAGTTAAATAAACAAAATCCTCTAGCAGTTACTGAGCAGAGGGCTCCAAATGACTGGAGGCCACACCAGCTGACAGGCACATAGATGCATAAGAAATGGTTCCTCCCAGAGGACTACCCAATGTAAAGCACAAACTGCTTACATTTTTAAATATTGAGAAGTTTTCTCTCTTGCAAGTTTCCATCACTGTTATGATAGATATTCATTTGTTCTCAATTTATTCAGATTTAGTAATTCTTACAGTCAAGCCTACTGTAACTGATTGTATTCTATAATTAATTCATCAGTTCTCTTCCTTTTTTTTTTTCTTCAAATTTCCACTTAGTAATCTTCACATAGAGAATACTCATAATAAGGGTGTATCTCCTCCTTTAAGTGCCAAGGTCCTTTTTCAATATTACAAGGGACAGTAAGAAAAAGGGGGAGACAAAAAAACAATGAGAGACATAGACCTGACCAGCACATGATAATAGATGCAGTGATAAGAACCAAATCTGGTCAGTCACACTAATTGATGAGGGCATACAAACGAGACTACAAAAGGCCTTAGTTTTGTGACGTTATCTGACTGAGGAATGTCAGTTTGGGAAATAAGGAAAAAAGGGAAAGATAGAAAACAATATATCAAGACACAGATCCAAAAAACGAAACAAAAACCCACAAAACATGGAAGCAAGGACAAGAAACAAACTTCCCACTCCTGCTAATTGACAGGCTACCAAGAAACAGCTTTCAGCATGATCAAGATGCACTTTGCAACTAATAAGACTGAACTCGGGCAGGGGACAGACTGAGTGCAGGAGTCAACATCACTCTGAAATCTGTTGGGGGAACGTACAGGAAACGGGAGGAACAAACAATTGAGGTAGGCAGAAAAAGTGTGCAAAAGGGAGCCGTTAGAGCACTTTTCTGGCTGAGTGCAGAGCCTAATCACTGCAGTCTTCCTTCTCTTCGCAATCTTAACTATTCATTTCTCTCCCTTATCTGTGTGCAGTGTAAGGACCAAGTGATGGCTACTGGCGTGACCTGCGTAGGAGTGAAAACCAGTGCCAGCTACCAAAGCCAGATGAGAGGAGTTGGACAACCTTGCCTTCTGGTGCTCCAGGAGCAAGCCGGAGTCTCTTACTCCCAGGCACTAAGGCAGGCATTCTGTGCATTTCTAAAACAGCCTATGGGATGGAGAGATTATCAGTAGGAGAGAGGACTCACATCTGCATGCCTGGTGCCAACTGCTGGAGATAAGCTGGTGCAGGATGGACATCATTAGCACCTATTACACCGCAAAATCACATTTACATTGTTCCTTGCTATCAACCTCCATTTGTAGTAACTTCATCAATATATCAAGGTACCAAGTTCTCCCAGATACCAGAATTTCATTTTTTTCATTTTGAAGCCAAACAAGAATCTTCCTTCTCTTCCTTACTCCCTCTTGCTTCCCACAGAGCAGAGGCAAGTAGGGGATACATACCAAAACAGTAACTTGTCTCAATACAAGTTGTCTTTGCCAGTTTAGAATTACTACATTAAAAATTCTAACAGTTATTAAACAGCATGTGAATATGAATGCAAGCCAAGCTTATCAAGCAAGCTCAAGGACTAGATCACACTGTGATAAAGCATATAGCTCAGCCCAAAGCAATCTCAAGAACTATAGCTTCAAAAGAAACAACCAAAAATAATCACATCAATAAAAAAAACAAAAAAACTTGTTTGTGCTAGATTTCCTCCCCTAAAGAAAATACTGTTTGATATGGTGCTTTGGAGAAGAGGCGGCTCAGAGGAGACTTTATGCACTCTACAACTTTCTGAATGGAGGTTGTAATGAGGAGGGGTTTGGCCTCTTCCCCAGACAACAAACAGGACCCGAGGAAACGGACACAAGTTGTACCAGAGGAGGTTTAGGTTAGACATAAGGAAGAAAACTTCCCTCAGAGAGTGGACAGGCACTGGAATGGCTGCCCAAGGAGGTGGTGGAGTCACCATCCCTGGCAGTGTTCAAGAGGTGTCTGGATGAGGAGCTATGAGATATGGTTTAGAGGCTTGTGGTAGCAACGACAATGGGAGGACGTTTAGACTAGATGATCTTGCAGGTCGTTTCCAACCTTGTGATTCTATGATTCACTTCTGGCCTAGTGGTCTATCTGCAAATTATAAAGCCAGAACATTATTTTTATATTTTAATTTATTTATTAATCTAAAACAAGTAATATGGGGTTTTGGAGAGTAAAGGAAGGACACGCAGTACGAAAATTTCTCAGCACAATTAAAGCTGCAATAACGATAGCAACAGATACAATTCTGACCACTCACAATGAGAACTCGCTCACAAGTCTGATTTTATTTTATTCCTCTGAGCAGAGAACAGGAGTGAGAATGAACAAAGGTTATATTGTTATACAAGAGTTTCATTATGTAACTTTCCTGACTTCTGCCATCTAATTTCTGCTTTGTGTTTTTAAATGCTTATCTCAAGGTAAACGCTTTGCCTTTTCCTCTATCCATTAGCTAATACAAAAGACGTGAATGTAACTCATTTAACCTTTAGCAATCACCTTGGAATTCCTAATGCATCTCCTACAATACTACTTTATACTGTAGAAAACAAGTTTCTTTTCTGTCTTCCTTATAGAGATGGGGCTTCGAGTTTGTCTTTTTTTATTTGGTCAGTTGATTTAATTTTTTTTTTTTTAAATAGGCCTTCCTCTGATTACTTAAATATTCCTTTTTTTTTCCTCCTTGAAAGGCAAAAATAAAAGTTAACAGGATTTCCCTTCTATTATTCCCATTGAAAATAAGTATGCATAACTAAAAGATCCCTAAGCCACTACCACACCAAGCTCTTCAAACAAATTGATTCTGAAGGTACCCATCTCAAGTCTTCTAATTACTTTATTTTCAACCCTACACAGTGTATGATGCTATTGGCTCATTTTTCTCATATGGAGCTATCTTTTCTGTAAGAGAAACTGGGAATCTATAAAAGGTCCTCCAAATATAGCTTCATATAACTTAAACATTCAACTGAAAGTATATTTTCATGCATATTTGCCAATATGAAGACAAGAGATTTTAAGTAGGCTACCTTCCATGTGACATGACTAAATTGATTACATTAAGTGCAGTACTCTAAATCACTTTAAGGTTGCATTGTGTAAAAAGTTGCACTGGAGGCGTCATGGTTTTGTGATTCTCAGTCTTCAGACAGGATGAATAAAAAACAGAGTGCTAAAAAGTTATCTTTTAAAGGTTCTCTATTAAAAACTGTTTTCTTATGGATCCTTTCTTAGATCAAATGACTGAAAGATCATTGTCTCTGGAAGGGAGAGATTTATGAAAGAAAAAAAATAGTTTTCAGTTCCATGGGCACACTTAGTACTACAGACAAGTTCTAAAAGATCTGATGCTGAATACACATTTCTTCCTTGAATATGGCAAGATCACAGTCTACTCACCTCTCCCTGGATTTGCGTTCGGCCTGTTTTCAGTTTCTCCTGTCCAGTAATTGCTGGCAAACTAGTATCAGAGATTCTCACAGTTGTTGGTGTCAAAGCAGTCGTACTAACTGTGGTTGCAGAAGTCACTGTGCCTTGGCCAATCTGTTCCAGTGATTTTCCAGCTTCTTTACATCCAGATCCAACTAGCAATGCTTGTCCAGCCACAGAGGAAAATGGAGTGAATGGCACTGATGTGTCACCACCAACTGGCTCATCTTGGACTACTAATGTTCGGCCATTCTCTTTGGTGTAAGTAGCAAAGCGAATATTGCGATTAATTTGAGGAACAAATGAAGGCAACTGTTTGGCCCTTGGATCCAGTCCTGTTTCACTACTGGAGACTCCTTTCCAAGGACCTCTGCTTGCCTCAGCTCCATCACTACCGTTGCCATCCACCTCACCCCTCTCCTTTAGCTTCTTTGTTGCAGGATCACACCCAGAATCTGAAACATTTTTCCTCCTCCGGCCATCTTTTCCCTCAAAATTTTCTCTCTTCTTCTTTCCTTTAGATGACTTAGATGCTTTTAGGCCCCCTCCCTATAATAAAAAAACCCATACAATCAGTAAACAGAACAAACAGGTCTACTTCTAAGAGCATTTTCTGTGTTAGAACAAGGATTACAGTAGCCTAAGCTTAGAAACATTTATTTTAATAACAAACTGACAGATCTGAAGAAGGATACAGTGTAAACAAGAAACATCAGCAGTTTTTTTTTGTGGTTGCTGAAGGAGGCTCTTCTTTTTTGCATTAGGGAAGGATCTCCAAAGTAAGCTTGTTAGGTGAGCTATTCTGCTGTACCACATGCCATATCATAGCAAACTCTATGAAATACGCAACATGGACACACTCCAACATAATTCTTGCTTGTGTAAGGCAGGTATTTGCACACCAACTTGTGCAACAAGTCTAATAACTATGGCTCTTTTCCAGGGCATACTTCCTGTCCATTACCCAAAGCCTGGAATTTTCAACTGTAGGATATACCTTATCCTTTAGCCTAGGGTAAAGGCACAGGTCCAAATGTTATCATGGCACCTCTAAACTGCAGCAATGAAATGCCACAAGTGTACCAGTCTGCTTTAGAGAGGCCAGAAGATACTTTTTAGAAATGTCTAGTAGGGTCTGTGGAGAAGCATAAGGTGATTCTGTTAAAAAGAAGGTCGTGAACAGAGACATTCTTTAGCAGAACATTATCTCTTAAAACAGAACAGAATAACACTGATCACTGAAACCCCCCCCAAGAGCCATGCTGAAGTTAGTAAAACAGGCCTGAACTAGAAAAAAAATAGATTGTTTAAAGAAAACTAATGTCCATTTCTCAAAGTGGTAACTGACAGAGGAAAGTTTTCTTCACATTACCAAAAGCCCACAGTGAACACAGCATCAGTGTACAGTTATTCTCATGTTCTCTTTTTTCAACACTTTATATAAATAAAGAGCTGAAATATTACAGTACCTCACTTGGAGAAGTGTTATCCATCACGACATGAATCAGACGAGGATCCACTGACTTCATTTCACCAGTCTAATTTTTACGCAAATGAATATTGAGGAGGTAGGAGGAAGAAGAGAAGAGGTTATTTTTTAATTCAGAGTACACAGTATCAACAGTAGGAGACCTTAAACACATGCTTGAATTCCTTAGCAATAACTAAAGGCTTTCAGTTTACCCTTCCATTTGTTCCATCTCTCTAGTTAAAGAACTTTCAGACTTGATTGCAAATTGTTTTCTTATGTATTTTTTTCTAACGAGCATCTCTAGGTGCATCTCACTGCATTTAACACAACTGTCTAAATCTGTTTTAGTATTGTTCTAGCATTCTGCAAATTCATGCTGCTAGACACAGAAAAGACTACATCAGTTTATGCTAATAATCCTCATCAGTACTTCTGCTAAGGCAGCAATGACTACCCAGTTTTTGTAGCAGTGCATGGAGGTTAACTTTTTATCTGACAGTAGATACATAGTAAGTTTGCTTCTTTCCCGGCATGCACCTGCTGAAAGCCTAACTTCAATCTCTCCAAAGTACCAGACTTATTAACCATACATTGTATATTTCTTCCCTGTGAATTAGCAGTAGATAGAGTATTCAAAGTGTAAGATTATTGCACATGTGCATAGGACTCAGTGGGCACACTCAGTGCATTTGTTCTGCACGCTTACTGCATATGGAAAATATGGAAAAGGTTACAAGGAAAAGAAACCTGCTGCTTTAAGAACATCCACACAGACCTACAGATTTATTTCTAGCTGCTCCTGAAAAAGGAAGCCATTAGAAGCAGGCTGCTGGTAAGGCTGAACAACTGTCAAACTCCACACAATCACGTAACGCAAACCAAAAACTGATTGGAACAGCCTAAGCTGGAGTACCTCAATCAATTCAGTTTAGACTACGATTTTATCTTCTATAATGCACTTATTTCAAACCAATTCCCCAGTCTGTCAGACAGAAGCTGAGAAATAGCAAAGGAAAACCACAGCATAACTGACCCGGAAAGAAGCTTTCCTTACTTCTATCTCATGAAGAATAACAGCTTCATCACAACGTGAGCTTCCAGGAAGAAACCGTATTTTAGAAAACTTAAAGCAGCACTTCATATTTTTACCTCAGTCACAGACACCTCCATGAGACGTGTTATTGGGTCTTGATGGCTCACAACACCACAGAGCCAGCTATTTTCATCTTCTGGTTGGTAAACTTTAACTCTTTGGCCTTGGATACTGTAAGGAACTGGAAAAGAAGCACTTTTGAGTTTATTTTCAAGAAAGCTTGGCATCATGCAAGATAAATATCATATAATAATTAGAGCCTGAACTCTTTTTTTGTGTACAGAAGTGTCAGCTTTCTAGCAGAACAAAATTAAAATGCTAAGTCTTCTGCTGCAAATTTTGCCGAAGCCAAGCATTCTGCTCTTGTACTAACTCCAAGCTACAGTAAAGACAAAATTCCTTCAGTTTACAAGGAGAAAAAAAAAAGTGAAAAATCAAAATGAACTTGCTCCTGACAAAAAAAAACAACAAACAAGTGTGGGATACTTGCTATGTTCTTTTCCTTTCCAACCTACAAGTCAGTAATTATGAGGCATCAACCCAGAAACGCAGTTCAGATGCATTAATTCCCTGAATAAATAGCACATAGTTCAGAGCAGAAACATATTTGTAACTGTGAAAATAACAACAATAAAAAAGTCAATATAGTTACACAAATATCCAGAGTCTCTAGATCAACCATTTTACTTCCTTGACATGGGGAACATGTCGTCTACAGGAAGGTTTACTCCCAACCCACTCCCACTCTCCAAAACAGCCTGCAACATATTCTCCTTGCAGATTAAAAAAAGTTAATATTAGATAATGAAAATTATCACAGTCCACCAGTCCGTATCTGCAGGAAGAAAATCAGAAGCCCAACTGGAACTCTACTTGGCTAGTATAGAAGACAATTAAAAATACTTTTATAAATACATCAGGAGCAAAAGGAGGATTAAGGAGAATCTCTAAGCTTAACCATATATGAGGGCAAGAGCAGTGACAAAAGATGTGGGCAAGGCTGAGGTACTTAATGCCTCTTTTGCCTCAGTCTGTATGAGTAAGGTCAATTTTCAGGGTACCCAGCCCATCAAGTTAGATGATGGTGACAAGGAGCAAGATGAAGGCCCTACGATCCATTCAGAAGTCTACACAGGCAGATGTGATTTGCCCAAGAGTACTGAACATCTGGTATAAGTGCTGGGTAAGCCACTTTAAATAATTTAAATAGCCACCCTAGTTAACTGGGAAGGTTGCAGTAAGGAGAGGTTAGAGAACACGAATCCAATCTACCAGAAGGGTAAAAAGGAGGACCCAGTGAATTACAGGTCTGTCAGTTTGACCTCAGTCCCAGGGAAGATCACAGAGCAGATAATTTTGAGCATCATCACATAATCAATACAGGACACTCAAGTGATCAGAAGCAGCTAGCAAGGGTTTATGTTCTGCCTGACCAACCTGACCACCTTCTATGATAAGACAATCTGCTTAATAGATGAGAGAAAGGCTGTGGGTGGAGTTTACCTTGATTTTAGTGAAGTGTTAGGTTCTGGCTCCCACTATATTCTCCTGGAGAAACTGGCTGCCTAAGGTACGGACAGGAAGATCTGTTGGATGAAGAACTGGCTGGTCAGCCAGGCTCAAAGTGTCACTTAAATGGAGTTCAATCCAGTGGCACATCCGAGGTCTCACTATTTGGGTCCATTTTATTAACATTTTTGTCAACGATCTGGTTGAGGGGACTGAGTGCACCCTCAGTAAGTATGCAGACAATACTGAATTAGGCAAGACTGCTGATCTGCTTTAAGGTCGGAAAGGTCTGCACAGCATCTGGAGAGGCTGGATTGATGAGTCAGTCAAGCACATTACATTCAACAAGGCGAAGTGCTGGCTCCTGCTCTTGAGTCATGAACAACTCTACGCAGCAGTACAAACCAGGAAAAGAGTGGCTGGAAAGCTGTCAAGCAGTGAAGGACTTGAGGCACTGGTCATTAGCAGGCTGAATGCAAGCCAGCAGTGTGCCCAGGTAACTAAGAAGGCCAAATGTCATCCCAGTCTGCATCAGAAACAGAATGTCCAGCAGGACTAGGGAAGTGACTGATTGACCCCTTGCGATCAGTTTTGGGTCTCTCACTACAGTAAGGATATTGAGTTACTCAAATGCGTGCAGAGGAGTTGTTTAGTTTGCAGAAGAGGAGGCTGAGGGAAGACCTCATCACACTGTAACTATCTGAAAGGAGCTGCAGCAAGGAAGGCGTCAGCCTCTTTTCTCCGGTAACAAGTCACAGGACAGGGGGAAAGGATCTCAAGTTGCATCAGAGAACATTCAAACAAGATTTAGGACGAATTTCTTCATGAAAAGGATGGATTCCAAAAGGACAATTCTGAAGTTACTAGGTGTGTGTGCTATAATGGGATGATAATAGCAGGGTGGCAAAGTCTTTGGCTACAGCAAATGAGAACAAGCCCAAATGCAGCAGCCACAGATGCAGAAATGAAGGAAAAGAGCTGCTTACCTTTGGAAGGCCTCAGGTAGGCAGAGATCTCCAGCAAGAGATGTGCTCACCTCCACTGCCAACCCTTAAATGAAGGCTGGGAAAGGGTTGATCCTGGTTCTACCTCTTCCAATCACTCAGATACATTGCTTGCACCTGAGATCCCCTAGGTTGGCCCTGCCTTCCCACCAGGTGCTCAATCATTGTTTCAGGCCATGACTTAGCACTGCCACTACACTTGGTCACTCACATAATTTATATCAATACACATTTCATTAAAGGAAAGGGAACCAAGTAAGTCTCCATTAAGAATTTTATTTGCCCTCAAATATAATACAGAGGCCTACCTCTTAGGGGGCTATCTGAGCAACGAACCCAAATTCTGGATGTAAAAAAAATCACTTTAGCACTAGAAAACCACAATGTGACAAGCAAAACCTATAAAAAGAATTAAATCCTAGAATGCAGCCTAGATAACAGCTACAGTAGTAACATTATGCTGAACAGGTACAGTCATGCAGTATTTTAAACTTACATGATTCATGCATTAAATGTCAAAACACCAGAATGTGATTTGATGCAACAAAGGAAAAATTTCTCTGATCAAAAGATCAATGAATACAGAGTAACTTAATCTCTAAATTTCCAGAATTTAAGAACAGCACTAAGCTTTAAAAGAAACTCAAAACAAGCTTAAAAAAAAAAAGAAATCAAGAAAGTCATAGGTACATGGAAGTTACAAATCGTATTCTGTGCTACCTTAACCACATATTCAGTGATAAAATACAGATTTTTAGTTGTATCTTAGCAAGGTACTAATTGGTAGCTGTCACAAAATAATGCTCCTTTAAATGAAGAACTTAAAAAAAGAATAGAGAAAAGCGATCTTCCAAACCAAACAGCAACAGAAACTATTATTAGTCTCCTTCACAAATCCCAGAATAATCCAACTGTTACACAACAGTCATAGTAGCCCTGAGGAACAAAAACCAGTCTTACCTCTACTAAATATCTCCTGAAGTTTCTGGTCACTGAACAATGAATTGACAGATTCTCTTAGCAATGGCTGTTCCTGCAGTATCTGATTCTGACTCTCTGTTCCCATCTGCCAACAATAAGCAATTTTAACATACAAGTAGAATGTTTTAAGCTAAGAAAATCTCCAGTTTTTGAGGGACAGCTCTTCTTGGTCTGCTTCCAAAAACCAAAACAACAAAAAAGTAAAAAGTAACTGCAACAGAAGTTTCACTGCTATCAGCTACGCAATGTTTAACTGCTAGCTCATCAAGTGAGCAATGCAGGCAGAAATTAGGACTTCTATAAAGCAGACAGGTCAGCATAAGTACCTGGAAAAACATGGAATGAAGCCCAAGACATGTTAGGCTAATGAAAGGAGACAGACAATAATTAACAATACAAAAACAAATTGCAAAAAATTGGATCCACTTCTTCATTAAAGCTCAAAGCAGAACTGAAAATGTGTTTTACTGGATCAGTACAAAAATATTAAAAATTGACATGCATAGCATAAAGTTAAATTTTCACCACATCTGAACAAATACCTGAAACAATCGTAATCCACTGGCATCAGACAGGAAACGTAAGTGTCTGTCCAGAAGAAACTCCACTGGGACCACAGAGCCTAAACCCAGCTTATCTACTAGAGGAGTGAAGGTCTGTAATGAACAAAAGAAAACGAAGGTTATAAAAACAACTGAACACACACAGACCAACAACAGTCGTCTTCATCTACTACTTAAATATAACAAAAAATTAAGAAGTTTGATTTCTAAATCTGCACTTCCCAGTGCCTGAGTTTTAGTGCAAATTATTACTCTAGGTCTCAGCCAGTATTTCTTGCAAGTGTAGTATATTAACATTACAAAAGAAATTGTAAAAAATTGTATCCACTTCTTCATTGAAACTCAAAGCAGAACTGAAATTATGTTCTACTGTATTTAATTCTCCATAGGTGTCAGCTTAAAAAAAACACCTTTATATGTGCAGCTTCCTCTGAAAGTAACGCCTCCTATTTGTTTCCATACAAACAACAACATACAAAAAGCACAGCAAATTCTGTTACAAAACACTATTTTTCAACAGTCACCACCATTAGCTATATATTCTTGCCAGTGACAAATGAGAGTCTACATGGTGTGCTCATAAAAATCTACACTGGAGAGATGCCCCACTGTCACCACTGCTGAAACACACCATCCAACCCTCACTATGCTGACATCCACTCTTTGGTCTCCCTAAACATTCAGCAAGCACCAATTAATGTCAATGGATGCATTTTTTTTTTTTCACCTGCATGAAGGAATTAAATTTCATACCCTTGCTTAATATGCACTTCATGTCAGAGGCCATTTTGACAAACTGCCTCTCTACTGCCATCTGTCACATGGCAACAAAATGTAATGCAACACTGGCAGGAAGGTTCAATCTCTGCTGTGATACCACAAATGTCTACCTTCAACATGGTGGGCCAATATCATAAAATAGGAAGCATTACTTTTGGAGAAGCCCTTGTTTTTCACATATAGCATCTGGAACAGAGGATTTTCATTCCTGCACAAAAATACATGTAAGCACTAAGAAGGCGTGCAAATGAAGGGAAGCATTTCTTGCTACTGTTTTATGCAGATCTGAAGCTCATATCAGGTGTACTTCCGACAACCAAACTACAGAATATGTTACTAATGGAAGAATATGCAGCAGACTCAGAACGATAACCTAATGTAATTTGCTGATGGAAGAAGTTACCAACCCCTGTAGTCTTGGAAATGTGTAATCTGTCTCATGAATGCACTTACATGATTTTAACACAAATGTATTTATGACATTTTTTGTCTTTACTGCTCATCAAGTTTATTCATACTCCATTCTCTTGTTCATGACACTGACAATGCACATTTATTTTCCCATTGAAAGGAAAGTTCCACCTACAGAAAAAAAAACACATTCTGTCTACAGAATCTCTACTGTAAAGGCCTGGTTTTATTCTACCTTAAGCCAACTACAGTAAAAAAGAAAATCCCTGAGAGAAAGATGCAGTATCAAACTTTTTGCTTTGAGTTCAAGTGTTCATTTAAAATACCAAGTTCAGATTTTACCAAGGTAAAAGGTTTTTTATTGGAAAAAGCATTCTAATGGGCCCACGCACAAGATGTATTAAAAAAGTAGACAGTAGCATCTCCAGTAGTTCAAAGATGACAGAAAAAGAACAGAAGAAAGGTAAAATAATAAAAATCAGACTGCATAAAAACTTGAGTAAGACTCTTACATGAGCTCTCCTCTTCAAAAGGCACTAAGAGAAGAAAGAAGGACATAAGGAATCCTCTTCACTGTATGCTACTCATCAGGATGTTTGAAGGACAGATATACTGGCAACTCTGGCTAAAACATACTGGCTTTAGTCTCTAGTCTCATGGCATCCAAATGCCATGTAAAGAGCCATGTGGATTACCGTTCCATGTGGCAGGAGAAAGATCTGTATGTCATGTTAGTTAATGCTGACAACATGGAAACAAATTTTTGTAGTTTACATTAGGAGCACACAACCCATACTGCTAACAGATCAGGCACAGTCCAGAGCCTCTTTTCTTCCCCAGGGACTTTCAGGAATGACTGTTAAAATGATATAGCAATCTCTATCATATAGAACCCTACAAAGTCTGTAATAAGACCCAAAGGCTTATTCTTTTAATTTTAGAAAAGCCTAACACACTCCAAGTTCTAAAACTGGGAAAAATAATCATCCATGTACATATCACATTTCTTCAGACATTCAGATATTCAGATCTGTAGGCTTTCCATTTCTAGAGCAGAAACTATAAGCAACTGTCTTTACAAGGGCACTACAACTCCCAGTTATTCTCCTCTTCACAAAAAAAAAAAAATCTGTCTCCAAACAAGTTTTAGTACCTGTAGAATGGAGTCCTGTACTATAGCCACATCTTGTGATTCACAGTCACGCTGATGCAGATCTCTGAAGGATATGAAAGCTTTCAGCTAAATACTCACCAATGCAGGCCACTGTTTTGGTGAGACTCGAGCCCCTTGAAGCAGAACTGGATCAGTTCGAGGCGCCCACACCAATGATCCTTCCAGTAACAGCACTATAACCTCTTCAGCATGGACTTTTACCCAGGCATGTTGCTTCCAGTTACAGCCATCAAATTCCACAAAGATCTGATTTAGTTTAAAAAAAAAAAAAAGAAAACACCATTTAACTTTTTTCAGACACTGAGTAGAATATATGAGATTCCACAATTTCTATCGACAGGGGAACAGCAGCTTTGTCAGAAAAAAAAAATCAGGATTAGTATTTTAATGTAACACTGAGAACATCACATCTACGTAGCTATCGTATTTCAAAAGAAACGGAAGTCTAATTCATAGCAATTACTATACTATGGAAGACGATTTACTGTCCAAACACACATCACTGGCACCAAACACTGCCTTTCTCCATACAAAACCAAAGATGGAAAACTTCTTTATCCCAAAATACAACTAATGATCCAATGCAACCTTCCTGCACATTGGGAATGACAGGGGATTTAGAGACTCCTACTTGTCATTTCAACAGACAATCAGTATCAGAATGGATAATTTTATAGCTGAAATTCACCAAAATCCTTCAGCCAGGTAAGTTGGTGTTTGTGAAATCCACACTATACGAGAAGTCCTGTGCTACCCTGTACATTACACTAAGCTCTCTGAACCAAATGCAGATATTTCTGGCATGAGATTATCCAGAAATACCTACTCACCAGACTTCATGACCTGATAAGTACATGCAATAATACAAACTGCACTACAGTCCTAAATCATTGTTCTCAGATACCCTTTTTCCCCTATCATAAAGGGTACACACTAAAGCTATATGCAATTACACTGCAAGAATGCTAAGCAAAGGAGTGGGTTATAAGCCTCACTTGATGCCCTAACAGTAAGGGCCATGAAAGATTAAAACATTCACCCTCCAGTCCTTCAGCTACAGAACTTTCCTACTACACATAGACAATCAAACAGGACAGTCAGAATATACTTTAGTACAAAGTACATACAAGACCACTGAGGATAACTGGGCGCTAACCAGAGACAAGAAGTTCTCCGCTATACCAATAATCCGCATTAAAAGAGGCAAGAGGAGACCATTTACAGTCCTTCTCCTCACCTCTTTTTTCCAGATGCAAAAGCTACCCAGAGAGAGGGAAAGAATATGGAGCGTCACTCCTGATGAAATCTTCAACATTGTTACTGCCTGAACTGCCCTTCTGAGAAAGAAGACTGAGTTTCTCAAGGTATCCCTTCCTTAAATTCAACAAACTCCAGCAATATAGTGAAAATTCAACTTAACACCTTTCCTGTTTCAGGATCCATACCTTTCTTAATATTATATTTATGCTACCACGGCAATAAAATGTGACAAAGAAAGGACTATCATGTTATGATTCTGTTATCATAAAGATTACATGAAAAAGATGGTCAAAATGAACTACTGGAACATCAACTTTGGAATATGTCTTTTCACAAGGTACTTAAGAATTTTATTAAAAGGAGGATTTTATAAGCAGCTACACAGAGAGACCACCTCTCTGTAGCACGTACACTCGAACTACTTGGCAAAGATCACTGAAGGCAGACAACATAAATTCAACAGTCATTAATTCAAATAAGCAGTGAAGCACAGCCTGCTTCCCAAAAAATAACATCTATTAGCTTAATTTTTAATTTATTGCTTTATACACGACTCAAAGTAATTTACTGTAACAGACATGAAATCAGGTTACACGAAAATTTCTTCCAGTCAAACTACAACACATCTCATATTTCTATGAATTATTACAAATTGACCAAGTGGAACAGCTCTACTTTAGCTGTAAATTTAACAAGTTACTTCCTGGTTTAAAAACGAAAAAAAACCAAGGCTCCACAATCCCAGAAGAAATAGTCTTCGATGAACTTCAGGATGGACATTCCACATTTCTTTAAGGTGCTCACTAAACATTATGACAGGTACTGTGATTGCCAACACATCAAAGCAGCAGCAATGCCTTCTGTTACTTAACTCTAAAACCAGATCTTAGTTTCCCTTATTGAAATCTCAGATCCAGAACTGGAGCTGGGAAAAAAGTCTTATAAAGCTATAAACCACGCTCACCACTCTTCCCTGCAAAACAGAAAAGTCGTGACATTTGTTTTTACACAATTCACGTCCAATGCTCAGTTTTATTCCACCTTTGTATGCATAAGAAACTGAGTCCTTCCAAACTTTGATTTACAATTGCGGAAAGCCATAATTAATTCTAAACCAATACTAAGTAGAGTACATTCCTCAACAGAAAAATGTAGGGCAGTTGTTCTAGGCCTATGTAAGACCACACATTATATCAGGAAAAATTACCACTGTTGTTTTCAACAAATCACATTAAACGAAAAGGGCAGCGAGCCTCAAGACAAATAGCTGTATTCTCAGCTTCTGCAATAGAAACAGTTTTCCTGTGTACTGGGAGTGGCAACAAGCAGAAGATTACTTGCACAAACTATTGTTTGTGCATATATTGCTTTATGTGACTACAGGAAATAACTATGCGATGCATGAAGAGAGACCCAACACACTCAGTATAAGAAAACTACTAAGGGAATCCTGAAACAGAAGTCTAAAGCAAGGGAACTTGTGACAGACTTTTGAGTAAATACTACATATCAGAAGCAAATAAGTAAGTGGCAAAAAAAAAAAAAAAAAAGTTCTACCTTTGTTGTAAAACTCAGAAGTTTTAAGCAAAGCCCTGTTTTTTTCCATCTTAATTTGAAAATCCTGTAGTTCTGAGTCAAAGGGAAATGCTAAAGCCATGGCTACGCTGGAAAGAATTACCTCTCCATATAATCAGGTCTTACAATTCATGTAATCACATACACCAACATCTGCTGATCCTTCTAACTTTGCTCACAGTCAGTTTGGACAATCCACTGACAACAGCAATGATGCTTTACTAATACGAATGCACTTATTTATACCTACTTGTCATCAATAACTCTTCAAAAGCAGACATATCCACATAAAATAATAATAATAAAAAAAAGATACTGCTTAGATAAAATGCGCCTGAAGGATTTCCCAAGTTCTTCTATGGTGAAAATGCCTTTCTGAAGCAATATCTACTTACAAAGAAGCTTTGGTTTTATTATTATTGTTTTTTTTAAAATCTAGAAACATCCTCTTGCAACACAGAAAAGGCCACAAAGATGATAAAGGGCCTGGAACATCTCCTATACAAGGAAAGGCTGAGTAACCTGGGCCTGTTCAGCCTGGGGAAAAGAAGATTAAGAGGAGATCTGATAATTGTCTGTAACACTCTAAAGGGAGGTGTGAGGCAAATGGATGAGGCCAGGCTCTTCTCCATGGTGTGCAGCACTAGGACAAGGAGCAATGGCCTAAAACTTGAACACTGGAAGTTCCACACAAACATATGGAAGAATTTCTTTACAGTCAGAGTGATGGAGCACTGGTACAGGCTGCCCAGAGAGGTGGTGGAGTCTCCTTGTTTAGAAATACGCCAGACCCGTCTGGACACTGAGCGGTGCGACCCATTGTGGGGAACCTGTGTTACCTGGGGTGTTGGACTCAATGTCCTCTTGAGATCCCTTCTAACTCTTGCAATGTTGTGATTCTGTGAAAACAGAGAGGATCAAACACATCCGTAATTCTCTCAGCCCATCTCCTCACTTTTTGGTTTTTGGCCCAGCCCAGTAAAAAGTGACACCAGAAAGTACAGATGTTGCTCTGCTTTATTTGATACACAAAGACAACCTAAAGTGTTTGCCTAGAAGATACATTTTTTCTCTAGTTGTTACACTAACTTTCTAGTGACTAACAGGTCTTCACGCATTCTAAAGAACTACAGGCTGGTTAGTATGAACAGAATTTCTCGAAGTTCTCCAAAGTCAGTTCTCCCGAAAAAACAGTAACAAAAGAACTACTATAGACATACTGGTCCTTTTTCATCACATGCTCCAATCACAACTTATAGTACAAAAAAACAATTAGAATTTGCTGCACTACAGACTTGTAGATGACAAGTAGGAAGAATGTAAGAAAAAAATTCATATTCCAGGGGTTTATATTCTTTACAAAAAATTAAAAAAGCAAAAAACCTTCAAAAGTATCCCTTAAAATGGTCTTAAATTTTACTAGTTTTGAAAGGAAGGATCATCAGTCAGTTGCTAGAGAGCAGACTGAGGCACAGGTTCAATTTCCTGTTCCGTCAGAAGCTTCCTGCATGACCTTGGACAAGCCATTTAATTTCACTGGCTCTGTTTCCATGTTGGGAAACTGGAGTAACAGTATTTATGCCCAGACAGGATGCATCTGTTGCAGACTACCAAGTAAGTCTGGGTAAGAAATTCCCTAAGACCCCTTACTCTCTAAGATGCAGAAAGAACCACATTGTCAACAAGCGAGATGAAAAACGGAAGGTAGATACTACTATGAGACATCTGAGATCTCATACAATTAATACCAGCATTAAATGAGATTAAAAAATAAAAAGAAATAGAACTACAGAAACTTTCAAATTGCTAATGCATCCAAAGAATTAATTTGAAATCCATAACTGCAAACCACAATGAAATTCACACCTGCGCACAGAAAACTTTCAGCTTCAAGTTGAACCTAAAATATACATACTAGGTGTTTTAGAATGGCTCCCAAAAACTAAGAAAACAAAGCAGAAAGCAAATCAAGGAGAACATCCTTTCTCTGTAATAATTTATAATCAAACCAGACGACAAAAAAAAAAAAAAAAATCATATGGTCAAAAAGAATCTCACCACAATTACTACAAGGATCAACTACGTTTAAAGGCTGGTCCTGACTAATAGGTATCACAGAATGGTTGAGGTTGAAAGGAACCTCTAAGGAGCATTTGGTCCAACCCACCTGCTCAGGCAAGGCTACCCAGAACCAATTGCTCAGGACTATGATCACTTAGCTTCTGAGCATCTCTGTGTGTAGCAATTGGACAGATCAATACAAAAAGGTGTTTCACCAGAGGTATAAAAACCAGAAGGATCAGCATGCTAGAAAGGTGCTATAAGGGAAGGGGAGTGCCTACCCATATCAGAAGATTCCAGGTTTGCAGGGGAAAGCTTCCCCAAAGAGAGATCTCCAACCAGAGATCCTT